GGGTGAACTTGTCAACGAGTGAGGAGACGCCCGCCTCGAGTGCGCCAGATGCCAGGCCTGCAGCGACGGCCTTGCCGATAGCGGCGGCGGAGCGTTCCTCAAGCCCGAGGTCGCGCTTGAAGATGTTGCTCAGGAAGTCCTCGATGGCGCTGAGAGAGCGTGCGTCCAAATCGGCAACGTCGCGAGAAGTGATGTAGTCGATTGCCTTGTCGATGGCGGCACCAGCTGCTCCAGCGGATAGGCCTTCGATGGCACCGTCCGCAAGCGCTTTGCCGATTGCTGCCGCGCTGCGCTGTTCGACGGCGATAGCGGGGTGGGAGGTTTGGATAGAGGTACGCCTGAGGGCGCAACACACGGTCAGAGTCTGTCATAGAGGCGCATAGGCGGCAAACAGATACTCACTCGGTCGTAGACAGCGGAGCAGCAAAAGCGGGGGCGACCGAGGCGGCGACGGTGAAGAGAGCGAGAACGTTGGCGGCGTTGGCGTACATGTTGACTAGTAGATTAAGGCGAGTGAGGTGTAGAGTGTAGTCGTGAATAGATGAGTGTAGTGTGCGTGGAGTTCGTTACGAAGAGAATAACAAGAGAGAAAATCCAAAGAAAAAGACGAAAAGAGAGAAAGGAGAGGGCGTGAAAGTGAAACAAAGGACTCGAGTGACCAGCACCAGGAGGTTGAGCAAGCTGAGGATACCAGGCCGCTCGTAGACAAGGTTATATACGGTTACCAGTCTGGGATATTGCGCCGCTGTAAGGCCGCACATTATTTCCGGTGGCACCGGCTCGAGGGCCAACAGCTTGGAAAATCGTAGAGGCTGTGAATCGGATCCCGACTTGTTGCACGCCATGCCGAGCGCGATCGAGCCGATAGCGTCGGTGGCGTCGATCTAAATGAGCGCCCGTATGAGTAGAATCCCGACTTCAATCATGCCTGGTCGTGCAAGCGGGGGCCCCACTTGGGCTTCCGCACCCGCTACAAGAGCGCTTGCAAGCTCACCAGACAATAGGAGAGAGTCGTGTAAAGGTCTGAGAAGCGGAATGCGACCTGTAACCAGCCCGCCCCGGAACGCGAGCTGCAGGGCTGAAAAAGGGTCAAATATGATGGAGGTGCGGGCGCAGCATGGCGGGGCGAGGAAGCGCATCAACTTTCGCAGGGTTTCGCCGCGCACAAAGGAAATTGAAAGCGCCTTCATTTTCTAGTGCTGATGACGGACAAGCCTGCAGGGGCGTATGTCATAGCGTCAAACTGAACCGAACCGAACAGATATGCACATACCATCTAGCGTTCAAAGAGCAGCTGGTCAGTGCAAGCACTGGATGGCAGCCCGGCGCCAAGTTGAACCTGCGGCACAATGCACAGGAAAAGTCGCGAACACGCCGTTCGGACCTGATGATCCCAATACGAGTCGCGTGCGCCGTGCAGATCCGCAAATCCTTGCTCGTCCCGATTCGTCCTGGTTAACCTTCCAAACTGCACCAGTCAATATATCCGAAAGATCCGGTAATCGCAGCATGTGGGCATGTAACCAGTGTACCAGCACAGCTTGTATTTCAAGAAATGTAGGAGGCGGACATTGTTCGGCAGGCTGACCGGTTCGTATATCGTATAGCAGATAAGCTTGATCTTCGAGGAGAAAGAGTCGGGGCAGGCAAGCGGGAACATCGGAGAGAGATGATTTGTGCGAAGAGACGAGCGATCCAGTGAGGGATATGAGGGCGTTGAGTACAATGTGACCGTTCAAGTATGAGACGCAGAACTGCCGTCCAGTCTTGGCCGTTTCCTAGCTTCGGCTTGCCCAGCGTCCGCATCCTCTGACCTTCCCGCGCCGCCATTCTCACTGACAAGATCCCACATATCGTTGTCTTCGTCCATGTCGACGGCCGCGCTTGGCACATTGCCATTCCCAGCAGCATCTAGCCTAACGAACCGCATATCACCTCCATCGAGAGCGTCTCGCAAGGCGGTGTTCTGTGCCGCTGAGAGCATAGACGGGTTGGCGTGTGGTACATGTGCAGGCCACCCTTCCAACCGAACGCCGTAGACTTGCAACTGAGGATGGTTTGTCCATTTCATCTCGGCGGTACGGTTACCGGACGTTGTTCTATGGATACGAGTTCTCAGTTCAATGATGGTCAACATCCAAAATAACGGTGGTATACATACCGTAGTGCGGTTCGAACCTTGGCGTAAACGTCGGTCTTGAGCTTGTACGCGGGGCTTTTGCCCTTCACACTCGCCAATGCAGCCGCCCCTTCCACGAAACCTGCGCTCCCACTCGCACCGTGCTGAACTTTCAGAGCCACATCTCTAAGCGCGGCGACGCCTTTCTCTCCTCCACCCCTCATCCCTCGCCAAAATTCGCGTGCCAACGGCGTGCCACCGACGAAACCGGAAGCTGTGGCATCGTATGGATCCGCAGACACGAGTAGACTGTGCACGCCAGTAGCCATATGCAACGATTCGAGGGCTGAAGATATTGAGATGAGGGCAGACCGGACTATGCGTGTCACGATGAGCATGGTGTAATTAATAACTTCGTTATAAAGGCTTACTTGTATGGAGTCGTTCCTGCCCATCCTGGGGCGCACTACTCTGAGCGAGCTCGTCCATTAACCGACGCATGTGCCACTCTGACACGCGCCGGCCCACCTGCGCGCTATGAACAACGAACGCTCTGTAGCCTGGCGCAGGCTACGGTACTGGTGCTACCTCATCCGCAGACCGTCCCTCTCGCACAGCGAAGGTTGAGATATCCGCCACTTGTTTCTGTAAAAATGCATCGAGGCGCTCGGTATAGAGATTATCTATTTCAGTGGCGGTGGCGTCGGCGGAAGCGTCCATGAGTGGATGATGGTGGTTCGGGTTATGTTGAAGAGATGTGTGGCGCGAGTGCGGCCAACGGGCCCGGGCGGCCGGTGAGCCTGGGTTCTTTCTTCGTTTCTTTCGTTCAGACGCCCACCACGTCCCCTACTTGCGCGTATGTCAACTAAATGCAAGTCATTCGCGTCAGCTGGTACTAATTATGATTTTGAGGTGCCTATGACATTACTGGCTGTAGTACTGCATTGATATTCAACCCCCACTCAAGAAGATATGCTGCTGTCAGGCGCGCGTGGTCGTTGTTCGCCACAGCCAAACTCCATGAAATTCAACAGCCTTAACCGAGCTCGAATTGAGCGACACGTCTTGGACACGAACACCGCTTCCGTTATCAAACTACACTCTCTATCTCGCTACCCCTTCTTGAGTCCTCTCAACCTTCGCTGCTTGCAGGACAGGCTCGCACGGCAACACGCCATTCGGCACTCGGGGCGTTAGACGTAAACATGAGCCTACTGCGCAGTCCTCGCCCGACTCTCACACAGCTTCCCGACGACATCTTATACGAGCTCTTCAAGGCTCTTGAAGGAATAGACCCCGCTCAGAGTCCTTCTACACACGCCTACACGATCGCATCGGCACGACGTGGCTCCGAACCTGCATCGCTCGGTTGGATCACCCTGACGCACGTCTGTCGCCGCCTACGCAATATTGGGATCAACTGCGTGCCGACGCTATGGGGCCGTGTTCTCTGCGTCTTCCCAAGCGAGCATGCTTGGAAGACAGCGTTCGAGCGCTCGAAGTCCGCCCCGTTGGTTCTTGATCTGGATGACGACAGGATCCGCGCCGTTGCCCCCCATCCTCTTCCCACTACCATTCTCTCCAGAGCACTTTCGATCATCGATACAATTTATGGCAACACCCCTATCGAACGGAAATGGTGGATCGATGCAACACTTCCTCACGTTGTGTCTCTCGAGCTATCCTACGAGCTCACGAGTTATGTGGACTACGTACGCGAGTGGCGTCGCATTGTAATTCTGGATGGACGTATATCTGCCCCGTCTTTGGCGTGGTTTCGGGCCGACGGCTGCTTCATCCCCTTCAACGCACCGGCACTGCGTTATTTGGAAATCAGGCACACAGTCGTATGGACAATGCTCCTGGACTCCCTACGGTCTTGTCCACTTCTTGAGCAACTTCACTTGAATGACGCATGTGAACCTACCACGCTCGCACTTGACGCTCCATCGCAAGTTGCTCTTCCTCGCCTCGAATTCATCTGCTTGTACGAGCCCTCGAACATCGGCGTATGCAAAGTCCTCGACAACCTGACTGGTTCATCGACCATGAGGATAATAGCGCGCTTCTGTCCGTCCACGGCCGTTTTCCGCAACCTTCTTGATCGCCGGCGCTCTTCCGGATACCAGCTCGGATGCGGCAGGGTGTTGAACATTTCGGCGACACGTAGCAGCGTCGACGGCACACGGACGCTCCGCCTAGCCGTCGCGGATTGCCGACCTCCTCGAGACGAAGACGCACCCTACAAATCCGACTTGTTCCGTTTGGAGTCGCGCGCACACTGGCGTTTGGAACAGCGTGAGGCGCCCGCGATCGCCGCTTCTGGGTTGGTCAATATGCTTGGAGAAGCATTCCCGCCTGGGGAGTCGGCTCTGGATATTCGATTGCTAGCCTTCCAGGACGACGAGGAGGAATACTGCTATGTCTGCCCTCTCCCTTACGCTCCTGATATGATGGAGTCGCTCGGGGAAGTCCTCCTCGCGCTCTCAAGAGTGGAGGTGTTATTTGTTCAGAGCCGCAACTTTGAGATTCTCAAGCTCCTGCGTGACTCGTTGGAGCGCGCTGAATCTCCCGAGTCTCCGGGCACTCTGTTCCCGGAGCTGCAATCGCTCTTCGTCGACATACGCGTGGTACGTCTGAGCGAATCGCAATGGAGCGTCGTGGTGGATATTCTCGCGTACCGCAAGGCTGCCGGACGGCCGCTCGATCGCCTCGTACTTCTCGGCACCCATCTCTGCCATCTCTCTCCGGATAACTATCCCGGCGTTACGAAGCTCAAGGTCGATCTTCGGCCCATCAAGAAGCTCGTGGGCGAGGTTGTAGACCAGAGGAAAGGAGGGAAGAAGTGCACGTGCGGCAAACTGTGTTAGAGTCGCGATGGTTCATGATTATAGCATCACATCTTATGCAATCCAAACTATTTGTTCCTAAAAATCAACCTGAAATACGAAAGACTGTGTCGTACAGGGTAAGAAGCTCAATGCCCTACGAGTAGGTGCGGTTCAGGTGGGGGTGAGATTCCCGAGGCTAGCCCGAAGTGACGCGATCAAACCTCGGACGCACGTGAAAATAATTCCTACAGTAAGTATGTAATACGATGGACCTTAGAGTCAAAAACCTCTACAATGACAGCCAGTTCTACCGGCGCCTATCCTCGTCCTTCCCCGCGCCCTTCTGCCGATGCTTATGGCACGAAACACTGACGATCCTCCCGTAGCCATCATCCCCAAACCTGACCTTCCCATGTCCGTTCTCTTTCACGTCCTCGACATCACCATCATCCTCCTCCTCATCCCACTCATCAAGATCGTCTTCCCTCTCCTCCTCCGTATCGTCCTCTCTCCGGACTCTTCTCCTATCTTCATCACGATCAAGCACCAAAGCGCTCAACCTCCTCCCATACACACATCCCGAGTCCAGTCCTAAGGTCCATCTATGTATATCGAGTCCCCGTGAGGCGGTATGGCCGTATATGACGCTCATCGGTTCGCAAGGGAGCCATTTCGTGTTGTGGACTGAATGTTCAGATGAGGAGGAGGATGAGACGTTGTAGCCGGCGCATTTGGGCATGAGTTGGTTCCAGGCGGAGTACCAGGCGCGGCCGTGTTTCGTATTGCTATCACAGTGTCAGTATGAGCGATCGAGTCGGAAGAGAGAAAGAGGGACAGGACGAACCTGATGATACTGTGATCATGCAGAACATTCCGCATGTTCAACAACGCCCACGGCTCGCCATTCTGCGGTACCCTCTCCAGCACGCCGACCTCTTGCTTCTCCCTCATCTCCCCAACATCTCCCCCACGCACTCGCGGCAACCGTGCAAGCGGCTGCCTATTCCCGTCGATCTTCTTCGTGATGTCGTAAGGCAGCATACCGGCGTGCACGACGAACGCATGTTCGGAGGGGATGTGCAGGATGAGGGGTAACGAGCGGAGGTAGTCGTAGTGTGCTGGTGTGAGGTCGCGCGCGAGGAAGTAGTGCTCCGAGAATATCTTCCAGTCCGAAGGAATAAGAGCGCGAAATTTCTTGTCCTGCTTGCGCTGCTCCTTCTTGCTCGCTGCAGAGACGTCGTCGTCCAGAAGCTCAATCTCCGCAGCTTCGATCCCTTTCCTCAACGCCTTGACTTCATCCTCCTCGCCCACAAACTCTCCATGTTTCCTCCTCCACCTCCCCTCCTCTCTCTCTATCCACTCCTTCCCATCCTGAAACCCAACGATCCACTCCTGCCATCCGCGCCACTCGATGACTTTCTGATCGTGGTTCCCCCGTACGCCGACTGTATTGTGTTCGACGACGTAATCGAGGACTTGGGATGAGCCGACGCGGGTGCCTTTGGCTATGAGGTCGCCGACGTGGATGAGCGTGTCGGACGATGGGTTGTAGGATGTGGTATTGAGGAGGGAGAGGAGGGAGTACGATTGGCCGTGAATGTCTCCCACAAATATCGTGCGGCGCTTGGTACCTACACGCAATCAATATTATACGCGAAGATTGGCAAGACAATGAATGTACCTTGTGCTGAAGAGGCCTCATCGAACCTCAACGTCCGACTATGCACATACTGTCCAAAATCCGGCATCTCCTTCCTCCCACTCGCATACGCCTCAAGCTCCAGCGCATTCAACTGCCCACCATCGGCCACCCATCCGATCCCGCGCGCGAGAAGGAAGACGAGGAAGAAGCCCAAGACGGAGAGCGATAATATCCGCCGCAAAAGCGTTTGGTGGTGCGGGTTCGGGCCGGAGCCTATGAAGGTGTAGTCGTGCGGGGGCATCGCGCCTCAAGTGCCCGAGTGGGGCGAATACGAGGGGCTCAGGAAAATATGGGCGGAGGAGATGATGGCGGTGGGAGGAGAAGAGAGTACCATGGCGGTGGCGTTGAGGTCATCCGAGTCTCGCTTCGCTCCCAAACACGCACGTTCGTTCGCTAGCATGTAAGATTATATTATCATAGAGCGTACTCTCGCAGTCACGCACGACGCATTGCATGCGCTGGTATAGTACTGCTATACAACGCGCAAACCATTTAGGTACATAGTGCTCACAGACCTTCATCGTGGGCGTAGAAGTCAAACCTCCCATCAAAAGACGCCACAAGCCGCCGGCCAGATCAGATCTCGCCCAAATCAACAAATCAAATCTTTGACATCTCTCCCTTCCACGAGCGCTCACCTGCACCATGGGCCGCACCCGCACAAAAACGCGCAAAAACGACCTGCTCGCCTCGACATCTAAAGTCTCCACCACAGAACCCGCCGCCGAAGAACCGCCTCTCGAGTCTTTACTAGAAAAAGCGGGCGAACTGCTCGTTCAGACCGACTACGAACTCTGCGCGCGGTTCTTGGACCGTATACTTCGGCGTTCTCCCCACCATGCCGCCGCAAAAGAACTGTTAGGCGTATTGCAACTCGAAACGGGAGATATCGACTCTGCGCGCTCGACTTTCCAGTCGTTGATCCCGCCCTCGCCTCACGCGCCCGCCGACGCGCCTCCGGCTGCACATTTATATCTCGCGCAGTTGAGCGACGAGGACCCGCACGCCGCGTTGAGTCATTATGACGCGGCTGTGAATATACTGGAGGAGAAGTTGCGGGATAAGGGGAAGGGCGTGGCGATGGAGGCTGGGGAGGAGCTGGACGAGGAGGAGACGAAGAGTACGATTGTGCGGGCGTTGATTGGGAGTGTGGAGGTGTGGATGGATCCTTCCTACGATCTATGGTATGCACCTCTACTGTTTTGCTACCCGTTCATCTTGGCTGAAGCTCGTGCGTGCAGCTTCGATCCCGGAGCAGAAAATACCTGTGAAGCGCTCCTCGCCCGCGCGCTAAACGTCTCACCGGGCAATGCCGAAGCTCTCCAAGCGCTCGCAAGCGTCCGCATGAGCCAGTCTCGGCCCGAAGACGCCAAGGCGCTCCTCGAACAGTCATGGTTGAGCTGGAAAGACCTTGACGCCGGTACGTCTTGCCGTCATCGGGGCGCGATATATCCTTGAAATTGACATCTTTGTGCAGAGGACCCGAAGCTCCCACCCCTCCAAACACGCATATCCCTCTCCAAAATCTTCCTCGAACTCGAACTCTTCACCCCCGCCCTCGAAGTCATCCAAGGCATCCTCGCCGCAGACGACACAGACGCCGAAGCATGGTACCTCGACGGCTGGGCCCACTTCCTCATCGCCGAACAGGCTCACGAGGCCGGAAAGGCGAAGGAGGAGTGGGAGGACGAGGCGAGGGAGGCGAGGGACTCGTTGGAGAGCTGTTTGGCGCTACATGTTGCGCAGAATCATCCGGATTTGCCGTTGAGGGAACATGCGAGGGAGCTGGTGGAGAAGCTTGAGGCGTTGGGCGTTAAAGCTAGTCCGGAGGGCGAGGAGGAGGATGGTGGGGATTGGGAGGATGAGGACGTTGGGAGCGAGGACGGGGATGGAGATGTTGAGATGGCTTAAGCCTCGTGGTGACTGGTATCGAGTGACCGTTGCCACTGCTGGGCATAAAAGTACCTTAGACTCTTGTGCGCGGAATGCCCATGATCTTGCCGAACGGACGGGCCGTGTGGCCGTATCGGTACACTGCAAACAATCACCGACGGTTGGCCATATGCTGACGAGTCAGTCTTGAATCTGTCTAATAGGGCATTACCGAAAGCCCTTGCGATAATGCTTCTTTCACTTACCATGCTCTTCTCTGCTCAGCATCGTTTCCCCCGATAACACTTCAAGCTTGAAGCTAGAGGGCGCTGACAGTCCGCGTTAATCCTGGAGAGAAGCAGCTCCACTATATCGCTGGTTTTCGAGGCGCGTGTTCACCAGGTGCGCTTCTCCTGACGTACAGATGAAGCAGTGTGTACAGCTGTCAGCCACATGACAGACTTTCCTTCGTTGTCATGAGAGAGGTCAGTATGTCCGAAATAGATAACAATATGCATAAATAAGGTAGTGATCCATACATTAATCGCACCCGGAACAGAGCGTTGATAAATAAGAGCACACAGAGATATAGATATCGATAGTAAAGTGATAGCATGTGGACGGACTGGAACAAGAACACGAACGTTACCATTCGAGGTCCCGGCACAGTGTGCGCGGAGTACCACGCGGCTCTGTGTAAGCGGCGCGGTCAATGAACTCCTCGAATAGCGCGCTGCAGAGACTGTATGCGTTGGCCCATTCGACCTCGAGAGAGTGGGGCACTTCGGCGAACCCGTCTGAAGATCCCTCGGCGAAGATGGGCACAGCAGGGAGAGCGTCGCCTGAGGATTGTGCGCGGATGGATGAAAGAGAGGGCTGCGGGGCCGGGGTGTCAATACGATTGGGGTAACGCGATGCACACATTGTGGCCGTTGATGGGTGGACTAGGGTTGCTGGGACGCTCGAGTCCATATCCCTCATGGTATCAGTAGCACGAACAGTCACTGCATTGGCCAGACCTGCAGTACGTATGAGCAAGGCAGAACCGAAGAATGGATGTATATCCTACCTAGATCACGATCGCTGCGCACTTTGAGGACTGGCATAATGACGCCCTCTGAGACGGAGACGATCGCAAGTAAGAGGAGATCCTCGGCTGAGATGCGGCCAACTCCATTGCCCACAGCCCATGGCGAGTTCGAGTTCCCGTTGGGAAGCGGTACGGCATCTTTCTACGCTCATCTATCAGGATCTCTGACGCGTCTGACAGCGAAGCACAGAAACGTACGGAGATGAACTTGCAGATTCTGCGGTTTACTTGATTGACCAGGCGCTTGAAAGTACAAGAATCTGCCGACTGCGAGCCACCCCTCATTTGGATCTGGCTTGTGTAGGGCTCGTAGCCCTCCCACTGCAACGCAATGAGTATGATAGAGTGCGGCTCAGGGATCCAAGTAAAGACCTTACCTGGAAGTAAACCTTCACCGAGGTTCTGCACTTCCCGTCGCGCTTCACTACCAGTTCATTGCCATGTTGTACATGAGCGACATCTCCTTTGACGGGAACGCCTAAACCTTGGCTTCCAACGACCCACAATGGAACAGGATCGACTTTGCCCTCGAGAACTGACGCCGCTCGTCCAGAGTTCTCTGAGTACGGCTCGAAGGGGCGCAGGGGGACTATGTGATCGTGATATAAGTCGTCCACCTCGATATCGGGTATGAACCAGCGACGCCCGCTCGCAGACGGATATGTGCGCGTGAAAGGAATGGCTTCTGGAATGCAGAAGAAGGCGATGGCATTAGGAATGTCGGGAAGCTCAGGACGGCGATCGCCTTCGCGGTACGAGAACTGTACGCGATCCCTAAACCTCCCGGGCGCGAGGGGTGCTGTCAGCTCATATCCGTTGTAGCTGGCGGCAAGCGTGCCAATCCGCCTGCGCGTCTCCTGGGGCCCTAGAGCTCGAAAGATGATCCCATTAGAGTGCTCCGTTCTAACTATCGAGTCAATAGAATCCAGTGCAGAGATGAAACCGCTCATAACGGATGTACGGGGAGAAGAGACGACGGCGCTCGTCGCAGGCACTGGGTTTTAATGCCCGTTCTTCAGGTGCGCAAGGGCAGGGTCTGTACCATCCGCTGTACAGTCCAAGAAGGCGATCCAGTCCAGATCATGTCGCATTGTGCTGGACGTTTGGAGAGCTGGAGAGCATGCAGCACGACGTCGACGTCGGGCATGGCAGCGAATGCAGTTGACACATCTGATGATGGGTGACGCGTAGAGACGAGCGCTCGGTGCAAGCGGCGAAGCGCTTGTTCATCTCGAGACGCGTCGTGTCACACTTTGTGACGACCCCGAAAAACAACGAGGCAAACACGAAGAATCGAGAGGATCCAGCGAGGTCACCACGGGTCATCGCGACACAACCATGTTCATGACAGTACGCCTGGCGAGACAGGGTCCAGGGAGGATCCCACGACTGTATCCCTAATGAGGCAGCTACAACTGTGTGTAGCGTGGCAACTGCGAATGAGTTCAGCGAGGCTACCACGAACACCTCCATTGCCGACAGTCGGCACACGTCCGGCCAGGCAAACCTTGTCAGCGCCGCCTTCCCCGTACCACTCCAGCGGCTAGTGTCAGACTCTGGCTCTACCCATCAAGTGCGCAAGGACTGAGCACAGCGATGTAAACCTGCGACGCACGTCTCGCTCGCTAGCTAATAATCTCGAACGTGAGACGCAGTCAAAGCAACGCCGAAACTCTTTCGTATCGAGCGCTTGTTCCCCGATCGACGGCGCGATCGACGGTGCAAGAGTGTCCTTTTTAACATGCTTTGAATAGTCAAGCATGATCGAGCCAGAATGTCCTTGACTGGCTGCGTAAGACGACCTTCGGTCACCCGAGCATGATCATGCGGAAACCCATACTTGCTAAAGTAGAATATATATACAAAGTAAGATCAATGCGTAGTAATGAGAGTCTTGTCTGTCTTCAGAAATACGGTAATGTAGAGTGCGGAGAATGTATGCGGAGAATAATGAAGAGAAGATGCGCGCATATATGACACAGGAGTCAACCAATACTTACCCATATAACCCTCGTCCTATCGTACAACACCAACGCCGAAAGTCCCATCATCTCTCTATACGGCAGAGGATGACCCAGATCCAGAGCCCGACGCCAACGTTCCATATGACGTTCCGGCCTCACTGCCCTCTCCCGCTGACCTCTGCCCATCGTTTCTATCGCCAACATGCTTGACCGCCCGACTCCGTCCTCGCTCGCGCTCCTCGTACCTCGCGCGCGCCTTCGCCTTGCCCTTCGCCTTCTTGCTCGGCGTAACTGCCTTCTCCGGCTTGGCGCCACCGCTGATGAGCATAAGCGCCGCGAGAGCGACTGTGACGAGTGCGCCAGCCAGGACGAAGATGGCTTTGGGGAATGTCGCAACAGTGGCGGAGTAGATGGTACCGAAGATGAGAGGGCCAAAGATCATCTGGCCCAGCGCTTGTATGAAGCTGAGAGCACCGAAGAGAGCGCCGACGCCAGTCGCGACGTTGTGCGGGTTGCGGTTGAACAGGTTCAACGCGAGAGAGTGAACGGATGGGACGACGGCCGCTGCCAATGATGATAGTCCAGTGAATGCCGCGAAGGGGATTGTTCCGTTGGTAATGGGCAAAGAGACGAGGAAGTGCGAGAGCACGTCGAGGAACAGCGCGTATTTGGCCAAGCGAAGGTCGAAGGAGATATTGTGCGGAGCTGGTGCGGCGCCCGGTGCCGTGGGGACGACCGCCGGCTTGAAGCGCGAGATAAGCGCTGAGAGGGAACCGGTCAGTACGAACCTAACGGCAGGTAGTACGACACTCACCGGGCATGATGAACAGCATATTGACCGCGCGCACTCCTCCGACATAGCTCACGTAGTACGCAAGCGTCTCCGAGTCCCAATCGTACATATGCTCCGCGAACAAGTACTTGATTTGGAACAAGCCCGCGCTGAGGAGATAGCACAACAGCCCGACGCCAAGCCACGTCAAACTCCAGTCGCGGCCCGCGCGGCCGTTAGACGCTGCGAGCGCCTTGCTGGGCGAGAAGACCGCAAGTGGTCCGAAGAGACGCTTCGTGAGGCTGGGCTGTTTCGGCGCGAGAACCTCGTGTTCCGGAATGCCCGTGGTCTTCGCGAGCTTCTCGGCTGCGCGCCGGCGAGCCTTGTGTACGCTCTCGGGGAAGACGCAGACCGATAAGAAGAAGTTGAGCAAAGTAGCTGCGATAGCCGCGTAGAAGACTGGCGCGACACCCGGAACGCCATCCGCGGGTCCGTTGACATTCTTCCCTAGCGCGTGGATTGAGCGAGCGGCAGCCCATCTCAAGATGCGGGCGCCTAGTACGGGACCGACAGCAAAGCCCAAGTAGTTCACACCGGCAAAGCGGGAGAATATTGATGCACGCGAGCCGTCAGACGTGCAGTCGGAGATGTACGCAGACGTTGTTGCAGTGAGGGTCGTGAAACCGCCAAGGAGACCCTCAACGAAGGGTGCGACGAGAAGGATAATGTGTGGCGGTATCCATTGCGCCACGAAGAGGCTCGAGGACGAGGATTGGACAGACAGCAGGAAGGCGAGGTCACTGTAATTATTGCGTCAGTGGTTGCCGCGATGACTTCAATCGAATCGACGTACGTGACGAGCAAACCAAATGACGATGCCGCCAACACCCTCGTCCGTCCTTTCCGTTCACTGAAGTGGCCCCACCACCCCGTCGTGATCGCACTGAGCACGCCCATTGTGGTCATAATGGCCGTCTGCAATCGCGCAGCACCCGCCTGTACTGCGGGGTCCGTGGCGCAGACCGTCGAAGGATCGCGTACCGGCGGGTGAGATCGAGGCGAGGATGGTAATTCGGGAAATATGATGGGAAGAGGCTGGTTGTAGTCATGCTCGTAGGATGAGACGTGGAAGCTCGAGTTGGACGTTAATGGTGAAGAAAGTGCTGATGCTGATGCGGGGAATAGATATTCGTCCATCCGGTGACGAGTGTGATTATAGTTCTGGTGGAGAGCATTGCATGATAGTTGCGTGTACACTTGGACCCGGGGTGCCAATGTCATTCCGCGCTGTGAGCGTGTGAGTACAACAAGCCACTGGAGTCAAGCGATATGACATACTGCGATGGAACTGAGTAAGGCAAACGGTACGATCCTACGAAGGTCTGGTCAGCCCGATGATCATACGGCGGCGTTGACAGGAGTGTGAAACTGATAGCATGGGCGCTGAACTGGAAATAGCAGTCTCGACGGACTGCACTGTGGAACTGTCCGTTTGCCCTCAATATAGTCAGGCGTATGTGCGCATACACCCAACCAGTACATAGCGTATCCACCAAAGAGGTATGATACTGTGAAGCATCCAGAGAGCCTTAATCCGAGATTTCCACAGCGCCATGCGGGGTAACAGCCAATATAGTAGTCAGATACCCACCACAGTGGTCTCGGCCGGTAGAACGGCTTCCGTTCCTTCTTGTTCGCAAGCAAAGGAGAAGACTCTGTAGCATCCTGGCCAGAAAGTCCGCTGATAAATGGAGGTGCGCGCGAGTGCGAGGGAGTCGGCGAGAATGTCATGACCTCCTCGGCCGTTACGGGGATTTCGACCTCAAAGTGGCCCGCATTCTCGGCGCCGTCGCGAGCGGCAGAGTCGACGGCCATGGCTGGCGAGGCGAGTGTGGTGGTGGAAAGAGACAAGGAGAGATAGGTCGCGTGCTTAGTCTGGAGATAGTGGAGGTGAGATAAGTAAAGGAACCTTGCATGGCGACCTGCGCGCGCGGGAGGCGTGGCCCGCTGCATCCGTCGGATATGATATGAACGCGGCCTCGACGCCTTATCTTCTTCTCGCCCTCATTTCGGATTTGCTTCACCGAAGTCCTCTGTACCTCCAAGCATTGGCTCTGCTCAAGAGCGACTGTGGGTGTCGTACAGCCTACGATTATCCTACGAGTCATGCAAAGTAACGGTCTCACAAGCCTCGTCATCGTTGATGCACTCGCAGTCTCACAGAGGCGCTCAGGTCCAAACTGAATCCATCCCAACGCCGCTTATGAATTAGCAAGCACAGCCAGAACCGCGCAGGTCCTCGCAAGGGACGCGTGTTCGGATCGCGCTCGGCCGCCCTGATGGCCACAACTTGACTCGACCACCGTGAATCGTTGGCCGTCCTCCCAAATATTCTGCTCAGCACCAGGAGAGGCCTTCGCTACAGCACTATACAGTACAGCACATGCAGTACTTCTGCATTGACGCCTTGAAAGGACAATCCATAGAGGGCGCGCTTGACCTTGACCTGCACTGGCTCGGTATCACAGTACCCTGCAGCCTCATGATGGATGGGTAGAGCACGCAAATGGACGGAAAGCGTGCGGGATTGCACTATTGCGCATGTGATGTTCATAGAACTCCCTCCCCGGCTTGAGACCGTTTACGAGCTTGAGCTGACTGTACAAGACATCCCTTCGAATCGTTGACCTCGCTAACGTATCAAGAGACCATCATGACCATCCAGCCTCTCATCTTCTACGACATCCCAGGCAATGCTTGGGCGAACAAGGCCTGGAGTCCGAACTGCTGGAGTGAGCGCCGTCTCTCGCCCTATCATCTTGCTCGCATTCGCTGATCCCGCGCGCAGAGGGCCGGTTAGATAACACAAGATCGCGGATCCAGCTCGACGTTAACGCCAGTACAGATACGCCCTGAATATCAAGAACATCCCGTACAAGACTATCTGGGTCGAATACCTCGAGATCGAGCCAACGTTCAAGAAGGCGGGCATTCCGCCTACTGGTACGCGCGGAGGGAAGGATCTGTACACATGCCCCGCCATAGTGGACCCCAACACGGGTACAGCGGTTGCAGACTCGATCCTCATTGCTGAGTACGTCGAGAAGACGTATCCCAATCCCGATACGCCAACACTCTTCCCGCCTGGCACTCGCACGCTACAGGTGCGCCGTGCGCCTTCCTCTATATGGGCGTAGCTCACGACTGTCCAGCTCGGCTTCCGCGATGCCTTCGACCAACGCGCTCGCGGAAACATGGTCAAGTCCCTCATCTTCCAGAACATCGCCCAGATGTCACCCGAAAGCGGTGCATACTGGCGCCGCACGCGCGAACAATACCGCTTCGGCAAGACACTCGAAGAGATCGTACCGCAAGGCGAGCAGCTCGTCGCTACGACGCGCAGCATCCTCGACGGACTGCATACAGTCGGCCAGTGGATTGACGCTGGCGAAGGTGGCCCGTTCTTGATGGGCAAAGAGCCGTGCTTTGCGGATGTCGATATCGCTGCGATCTTGAAGTGGGTGCAGTTGATTGTGGGGAAGGACGAGGATGGGTTGTGGACGGCTGTTGCGAAGGTCGATGGTGGGAGGTGGGCTGTGTATATGAAAGAGTTTGAGAAGTGGGATGGTTGCCCGTGATGTGTGCAATAGAGTCGACGATAGATGATGCGAATGTAGGATACAACTGTACAACGTATGGATTATAACGAAATGGACATCGGATCGTATGGGACGCGCGAGACCGGACAAACGGCAAGAACACAATCTTGCCGATGAATGACCTCTCTTGGATAGAATCAAGCTGACATGCATACATACCCTGCTCGCTAATCCAACAGACTGGCAGCTGATTCATGCTTCAGGAAACAAAGAAAACGATGGCATAGCGATGTAAACAGCAGGTATACAAACAAGGCTACAGGACTCTGAACATCAAAACATAGTGACAGTCATAACATTCGATAGCATTGATAATGACCTGGGGAAATGTGCCCGTATGATGGTTAACGAGTCACTGCGCCTACGCGACAGTGATCTTCTTGGGCTGCGCCTCAGGACCTGAGCGGGGGAAGGAGACGTTCAGCACGCCGTTCTCAAGCGATGCCTTGATCTCCTCCTCCTTGATACCCTGCGGCACAGGTATTGACCGCGAGAACTTGCCAAAGCGGCGTTCGCGCACAGCGTAGCCATCCTTCTCCTTCGTCTCGTCGATCTTGGTCTCGCCCGAGACGGTCAGGACGTTGTTGTGCACGTCGATCTGCACGTCCTCCTTCTTGAGGCCGGGCAGTTCGAATGTGGCGGTTACAAGGTTCTTCTCCTTGTCTTCGTGTACGTCCATCCTGAGAATAGAAGTCAGCATGTGGTTCCATTTCTAAGAAAGGGGGGAAGTGAGGTCACGTACTTGGGGCGCAATGAGCTCAGGGACGAAGATCCCTGGCGAGCAAGCTGCCCTTGCTGACCGCGGCCTGTCGACTGACGTGCATCAAACGCCTGGTCGAAGAGGCTGTCGAAGTCGGAGAGGGAGTAGAAGGGCTCGTAGAGGAAGTGGGTGAGCGACATGGTAGCGAGTAGTTGAGAGCGCTTGTAGTGGTGGTGGTAGTCGCGAGTGGGTTTGTTTGTATTTCTGAGGGAAGGGTAGGCCGCCCAGCACCTGCATTTATACCACTAGAGAAGGAATGTTCGCGACGGCTGTGGCGTCACTGTTCTCGTTCATAGCACTTCCCAGAGCGTACCAGAACGGGGTTGCGATGTTCGAAAGGTGGAGTCGCGGTGTGGAATTCGGGCGAAAATTCGAGAAAAAACTGCGAGACGTCCAACTCGGCACGAGTTGGAACCTGCGCAGACGCTTCGATAGAGCACAGGTAAGACATACAAGCACTAGATGTGTGCTAGAGAGCGTGACATGAACGGGGATAAGATACACATAGATAGATGCAGTAGTGGTCAGAGGAAGCTTGGAGGAAGGGCGCCGATCCACCAGCACTCGATCACTCTTGATTTGAGGGCGAAGCTAATAATCGCAGAGGGGCTTCGCGCCTTTGGCGTCTCATAGATATGTGAGTACTGTAATTCTGTCTGAGAGGGCGCTCAGGTTGACGACGAACGAAGTCGTCGTTGAGATCAAGCCGCGCCGAGGCTCGGGTGGCACGTTCAGGACCGGCCCGGGCACCCGACTCGCACCCCGACGCGCGCGATACGTCGAGCGTGGCACAGTGGTCATGTCTACAATGTCTCGCACCTCAAGCTCAAGAAGCAGGCAGGCAGGGTGACTAAAGGTCACAGTGACCACAGAAGGTGTTCAGAAAGCCAACGCGGCAGGTATTGCATTAAGAAACGAGTGTCCTCCGTGGGCTACAGGGATAGAGATGCGTGTAATATACGAAACGAACGACCGGAGAATGTATGCGACGTAGGGGTATTGTAAGGTCTAGTCATGACCGAGGCAGGTAGCAAAAAGCATGGCACATTATGTAGGTAGAGAGAAAGCAATGCTGAACAGAAAACCATCATGTGAAAATAGCCGTAGGAGTCTACTCCGTCTTCTCCTTCTTGCCCTTGCTCTTCTTCGGCACGCGCGCGAGCCAGTAGAAGAACAGTGCGGCGCAGGCGTTGAATATGATGTAGACCCAGAGAATACCGAAGTTGCGGTACCTGTGGTCGTACGAGGACGAGACGCTAGCGAGGAAGGTGTTGGTCTCGGTGACCTGGCAGAACGAACAGTTGCTCGTGGCGTCGGGGTTGGCGAGAGAACCACCAGCGAGGCTCATGTAGCTCTGGAAGTACTCGCCGCACGTCTGTCCGGCTGGAGGGTTGACGATCGAGTTCTCGATGGCAGAGCACTCCGCGGGCGAGTTGGCCACAGCGACAGAGAGCATACCGTCCACTAGAGAAACCCGGTCAGCAACTTGTTGCACGCACGAGCCAGTTTAGATACTTACCGAGGTAGGTGAACGGCGAGACCCGGTACATGAAGATCCAGAAGTGTGGGAAGGCAGTCGGACCGGTGGGAGGAGCCAGAACACCGTTGAACACCAAGCAAAGCGAGAAGAGCAAGTTGGCTGCAAAACATGGTCAGCTATGACACAAGTATATGATAAACGCATAGACATACCCAAGTTACCACCAGTGACAGCGTCGGGGATACCGGCGATGATCATGTGGGTGAACGTCGACGTGAACAACAGGAATTGCCAGATCTGCAGAGTGTCGGTCAGCAGGGCTCGTGACGCGGATGAATGAGACATACGAAAGCGAAGAAAAGACCGCCGCGCTCGGTAACCGCATCCGTGAACTGAGCGTTGCGGTACAGGCCAATCGGGTAGTAGTACGTGAAGAACAGCGTGACCGCGGCCAACGTGTTCCACGGCAACTCGACCAAGATGTTCGCCAACATGAAGGCCTTCCAGGAGTACGCCTTGGATGGGCGCTCGCGGACCTCGTACAGGTCGCGCTGGGTGACGAAGTGTGGCATGGCCTGGTTGACGAGGGATCCGAAGACGATGAGCAACATGAACACTGAGAACATCTGGTCCTGCAAGTCCTGGATCGTACGACCGGCTTTGAAGAACGTGAAGCCGATGAAGAGACCGGTGAGGATACACAGGATAAGCTTGGCCCACTGTGAAGATAGGGTAAGCGCACTGTTACATGTGAGAGGGTATGAAGAACGTACGATGTAGCTCGGAGTACGCCAGAGTTGCTGGAAGACACGGTGGGTGACATAGTAGAACTGCTGCCACGCCGACGCAGCGAATGCACGGTGAGCCTCGATGTCGTCAGCCGCGTTGTGGTGCTTCGGGTTCGCGCGGAGCTCAGCGAGATGAGCCTTGACGGCGATGAGCTCCTTGCTACCGCGCCATGCCTCCGAGAAGTCGCGAACGGCGTTCGAACCAGGAGCGGCACCGATGACGTGAAGCATCCACTCAGCCGGGTTGGCGTCGGGAGGGCAAGCCGGCGCGCCTTGGCGCTCGAAGTACTGCGTAAGGATGTGGCTGTTCTCGCCGATGTCGCCGAAGTAGACCGTCTTTCCGCCAGACTGGAGGAATAGGAGGCGATCAAAGGACTGGAAGAGCAGGGCGCTGGGCTGATGGATCGTGCACAGGATAGCCTGGCCGTGGTTGGCGAGCTTGCGGAGGAGCGTACAGATGGACCAGGCAGTCTGCGAGTCGAGACCGGACGTCGGCTCGTCAAGGAACAGGAGAAGCTCAGGCTTGGCGACGAGCTCGACACCGATCGTGAGGCGCTTGCGCTGCTCGACGTTGAGACCTTCACCGGGCACACCGACGACGGCGTCGGCGTACTTCTCCATCTCGAGCAAGTTGATGATCTCCTGGACGTAGGATTTCTTCTCCGAATCGGGAACGCTGCGGGGCTGACGCAAGCGCGCGCTGAACAGGAGCGCCTCGCGGACCGTGGACGTCTCGAGATGCAAGTCCTGCTGTTGAACGTAGCCGGTCTTGCGCTGGAAGGACTCGTCGCGCTCGTTGCCGTCGACCAACATGCTGCCACCAACGACACCCATGGTGACGCGAGAAGCGAGCACATCAAGAAGCGTCGTCTTGCCAGCGCCCGAAGCACCCATGAGCGCAGTAAGCTTGCCGGGTTCAACCCAACCGTCGACGTGATCGAGCAGGCGACGCTGACCACCCTTGACCTTGACGTCGTAGGTAACATCTGAACGAGATCAACTTCACAGAACGGCGATATAAAGAGCGCCGAGTATACTCACCCTCCCAGTGGAAGATAGCGGTCTGCTCCTGAATGATAGCCACAGCCTGGTCGGCCTTCTCCTGGATCGCCTGATCGAACTCGACCTTGCCGATAGGCGTGCCAGCCTCCTCATCGTCTTTGCGGACCATCTTGAGCTCCGCGGGAGTGTGGCCGCGACGGAAAACAAGAACCTCGCCCTTGGACTTAGCAGAGGTAACGAACTCGACGGCGAGCAGGTAGACGGCGCAGAAGAAGACGGTGAAACCAAGGAGGATGCCGAAGTTGCGCCAAAGGTGACCCTTGAAGTACTGGTACGACTGGTTGACGTAGACACGGCCCTCGACGCTACTTGCGCCCGCGACACCACCGACGACCGCGCAAATCTGGCTCGCGCGGTCGGTGTAGCCTGGGCCCGTGGGAACGTACGTAACGCAAGGGAAGGTACGCCCGTCGAACTCGTTCACCATGAGCGCCTCGAATGCGTATGCAATGGGGTCGATCCAGTTGATCCAGCGAGCCCAGCCGTGCATGTTCGGGGTGGGAACGACGAAGCCGGTGTAGATGATCAGGGCCAACAGGATGATCGAGGCAGGCGTCATGGCTTGCGCGATGGTCTTACTGCTGGCACCGATGGTACGGAAGATCATAGACATGGCAAGCGTAATGGTGAACGAAAACAGCAGGAAGATGCTACACAAATCATCAGTACGAACTCACGCAAAGTATGCGAAAGATCATCGACGTACAAGAACGCTCCAGGTTCACGCCGAAGGTTGGTCATGAAATACAGTACGAGGTTGAACGAGACGCCGGTGAGGATCTTGGCAGGCAGATCGCAAATCATGGACGCTATAGCTTCGGCGAACGGGTGATACATGGCCATACGTTTGTGTTTTTCGACTGTACTAAACGTCAGTACAGTCACTGGTAAAGGCGGATGAGACGCTTACCGATGGGACGCTGCTCGTACAATTGCAAGATCTCGAGATTGGACTGGAAGGCGTTCATGAGGATAGCGAAGAATAGCAAGGAACCGCGGTTGTAGAATGAGCTCGTATCGGAAGGCCTGCAAACATTTGTCAGTGAAGGTTCCACTCGGACAAGCGACGTGAAAACGTACAAGTTGTAGAAAATGGAACTGATAACAAGACCCATGATGACGTTGGAGAAGACCTGTGTGAAGAAGATGGACATGTCGAGGCGTAACCGGGAGAATGCGCGGGTAAGGCAGAGCTTGATCTGCATCGGGACGGAGATCGTGTACGGCGACCGGGGACGAAGAGACTGGGACTGCGTGAGACGACGATTGGCAAGCATGGTTTGGTACGCCTGAGTCTCGCTCGTCGAGAATTCGCGGTCGAAGGAGGCGATGTCCTGAAGCAGGGCCTGACGGTCGGCACTTTCTTGCCACCGCTTGGCAAACTCGTCCGGCGTACGCGGAACTTGGCCTTCGAAGCCGGGGCGCACAAGACGCTCCGCAGGGTTGGTGAGAGACGTAAGGAAATCGGCGGTCGTCTGACGAGGCAGACAGTGGAATCCCATGTCAACGAAGAAGGCCTTCGCGGCGCCGCATGGACCGAAGTAGATCTGGCGACCCTCGTAAAGTACCACGACCTTGTCGAACACGTCGTAGATGTCCTGCGAAGCCTGGTAGATAGCGACAGCCGCAGACGAACCCATGTACTTGGTTTGCAGGCGCAAAGTGCGGACGAACTCGAGAGCGCTGGCCGAGTCGAGACCACGCGTGGAGTTATCCCAGCATTGAAGGGGACTTCCAGCGAGAGCGACTTCGGCGAGGGAGACACGCTTGCGCTCGCCACCTGACACACCGCGAATGAAGTCGTTACCGACTTTGGCTATAGGGCTGTAAGCGCCAGGAACGGAAGGCGGGGAAGATTAGATCGAAGCTCACTGTTGAAGGTGTGCGAAATACCGAAAACGGCCATAATGACGTCCCGCATGTGCGCGGCGTACTGCTCGCGGGAAATGCCCGGCATGCGCGTGTGCGGGGTGCGCGCTTGTGCAGCGAAGGTGAGAGTGTCGCCAACAGTCAGATTGGGGAAGTGCACGTCAACTGTGAGAGTGATTGAGCTTTCAATCGCGCGAACGGCTACATGGCGCACATACCCTCGGCGTTGTAGATAGTCTCGCCGCGGAACTCCTTGTGCATGCGGTCGAACGTGATGCCCTGGTAGTTGATGCATTGCTCGTCTTCAATGAAGAAGCCGTGCGTCTCGCCGGTGATGGTCTTGAGCAGAGTGGAGCAACCGGCACCAGGACGACCGAGAACGACAAGCATTTCGCTCTCACGAAGGACACCCTCGAAATTGCGCAAAATGTCAATGCGCTTGCCAGATCGACGCCTGAACAGGCTGCGAATGTAACCGGGCAAAGTGGTGATCACATTGACGACGTTCTTCTGGTAGTCCGTCGCATTGCCGTATCCGTGCACATTCTACGTGAACGTGAGCTGTCGAATTAAAGGACAATGAAAGGCGTATACGCACCAAGTTCTTCCAGCTGACGCCAGCCGTACGCTTCGGGAAGTGCTCTGGGTCCCGGGATTGAATGTGCAATATCTATTGCACAGGTGAGTGATGCAGTAGCATTCAAGTGGCTGTCAGGACATACGCGCTTGAGCCACATCTCCATATTGAAGTGACCGCTGGACGGGTCGAGTGCGGGGTCGGTCGAGCCCTCGAACGGGTTGTCCACCACATCAGAGTCGTCCCCTGCGTGCTTGGACGCCTGGGTCATTGTGCGCGCGAGCGCAATAACTTCCCGCTCAGCCGCATGTGAGAGATCGCCGTGGGTACCGTCTACGACGGTCCCGGTAGGAGAATGGTTCTCCTCGGAGGAGACCTTCTCGTTGTACTCGGCCATGACGGACTAGACGAGGACGCTCGAGGCAAGAAGCAAGGTGTGGGATCATCCCGTCTCAGGCAACACTTATATCACAGTTCACTAACGCGCGACATGGTCTCTGGTCTCCCGTAACTTTCCCGGGGCTTGACTTTGATCGAGCTCGGCCCGATCAATCGGCCTCTTGCCGCCGGTTCTGAGCATGAAGTGCGTAAGCTCCGTTGACTGTCTCGACCGCCGGGAGCTTGGGTTAGGGTTGGCGGGGCGTTGCAACGCGGGGATGTTTCCGCTCTGTGCAGTGCCGACGGATATCTTCCGTCTACCAGAGCAGTCGAGTGGGTATATGGACGCCTGTAGCGGGCCGTTTCCCGATGAACTTGCTTGGGCAACCAGGATAAGATGGGCTCGCCGTTCGGCCTGGCCTGCAAATATTGCACCTGGCCGATTGAAACGCACATATCTTGGCCCCGCTGCGCTCTCCGTTGCCTTGTCGTCCCATCACCGCCCACATCTTTCTGCGATATACCCGCCAAATTTATCGATCCACGCAATCAGCGATTGCTGCAGCTGCGGCTATCATTGTGTGAACCCGTACGATTCCGACATGATTAGGACATGATCATAAAAACACGGAAAGATCTCCAATGGGGGTCGCTACAGAAAATATTGGGCGCGGCGATGTCGCCGCGCGAATGGCAATCAATGGCCGCGCGCCGAACTCGGATCCCTCGGACGCGTTCAGACCTTCTCCTCCAGGTCATCAGTGGCCTTCTCGCTCGGCGGCGGATGGCCGCTTGCGTACGCCTCCAAGCCGATACGACGCGCGATCTCGGCTTGATGTTCGAGCTCCTTCACTGAGCTTCCAGCTTCATCGCCAAAGACTTCGTCCATCTCCTCGAGCGTCAGGCCCTGCACTAACGTTTAATCCTACTTTCTCCTTGATCGTACAAAGCACCCGTACCTTTGTCTCGGGCGTGAAGAACCAGATGAAAAGACCTCCGAGGAAGGAGAAGGCCTATGGGCGCTTCTTTCAGCGGTTGATCAAGTAGAAGCAGGCACCAGGACTTACACCGAAGAAGACAAAGGTGCCGAAACCGATTTTCTTCAGCATCGTAGGGGTAACTTGGCCGACGATGAAGTTGTTCATCTGTATTCGCAAGGGGTAAGCATCGCAATTCGAGGTAACACAGCAGACATCAACTCACCCAGTTGGACGAAGCACCGATCGACATGCCCTTGGCGCGAGTGCTTAGCGGCCAGATCTCTGTACGTTCATTAGCGCTCGATGTCAGTCTACGGATTCGACTCGCACTCACCGGCTACGATGATCCAAGCGCAAGGACCCCAACTGTATCCAAACGCGATGGCGAAGATCCAGACAAGTACGCAGGCACCCCATCCAGCCGCTGTTCAAACATCAGATTCATACATAGCGATCTCGCCTTAGATCGAAGCGTACCGGCATGCCTGAGAATAAGGTCAGCTCCAGTTCTTCAATCCGTGAAAGATGGTGTACTCACTCAGGCCACGAGTCATGGTACAGGCCAGTCAGGATGGCTACGATGAGATGGCAGCTACGAACGCGAGCGCGCTGAGCCACTAAACCAGACCACATGACTGAGAGAGACGCACGCTGCCATGAGGAAGGCACCCGAGATGAGGACGGGCTTGCGGCCAAGCTTGTCAACCCAGATAACTGCGGGGTAAGTCGCGAGATGCATACTACGGGACGCAATCATCAGCGTGACCGCGTCAGAGTCGAGTGGAATTGGACAGCTCACACGATACCGACTACACCAGTAGCCAGTAGAGAGGTGGTGTTTCCAGTAAGGCCGAGTTCTTGGAAGATCGTGGGAGCGTAGTATAAGATGGCGTTTACCTGGAGATCGGTCAGCCTCAACGTGGGTGTGCAGTTTAAGATCAACCCACTCCAGTCCACTGCTGGAAGAACATTGTGCTGTCGACAGAAGCAGGTGAGTGGATCTCGGTTAGCGAGGAAGGACCAGAAGGTGCGCATACAGGGAGGAGACCATGACACGGAAGAAAAGACCTGTGGCGCAGGACGATTAGATAAGATAAGATGTCTTCATTTAGTCGAAGGGGCGTACTCTTCTTGGTAAGAAGACTGAGGTATCCATGGAAGCCGAGCAAGAATCCAGACTTGAAGGATCCGTCCTGGTATTGCGGGAACGCCTGGGCGTTGACCTCAAGTTCGAACAGATGTTGGGCCTTGATCTCAAGATACTCGATTTGGATGAGGTCGTCCTGAATAGGGAGTTGGCGCGCACGGCTGAGCACAACCTGCGCCTCATCGTCACGTCCCTGGTTGACGAGCCAACGCGGACTGTGCGGTGCAAACATCATGCCAACACCGAGAATGAGGGCCGGGACGAGTTGCAATGCCAAGGGCAGCCTCCACGCAGCTTCGCTCTGAGTGTCGCCAGTGCCGCCGATGAAGTTCGTGCCGTAGTCGATCCAGAAGGAGACCATGATACCAGCAGTGATTGCGAGCTGTTGCAGCGCGACGAGACTGCCGCGCACCTCGGGCGGGGCGAGCTCGGCATTGTAGAGTGGTACTGGAATAGGATTAGGGGACGGAGCTCCGCATATGCATGACTGTATACACACCTGACATGCTATAGGCGCTCGAGATGAGAAAGCCGTCATGATAGACGTATTCAATGCACGCACCTCAATGAACCTACACCCATTCCAGTCACAAACCTCCCGCCATAGATTGAGTCGGGGCCCTGGGCCGCGGTCTGCACGATCACACCAACACAGAATACCACCACGGCTGAGACGAGCCTGTGTGAGCAAAAGAACGTAGGTGGGGAGATAAGATGGGCTTACCGAGGAGAATGGCGAACTTGCGCGAAAGCCTATCGGCAAGATAACCAGTGCAGAGAGTACCAAACCATGCACCGAGCTCGAGGATAGATACGAGCCAGCCCTTCTTTCCGTCATCTGTCACCGCATCACCCATCTTGTTGATGAAGTTCTTCATGGCCAAGACGCCAGAGAAGACACCCTGTAAGCTGCATGTGAGTACTGTCGAGAGCTTGCACAGTAAGCATACAGACCTGGTTATAACCTGATGACGGGGACAACTGCGATCAGATACCATACACACAGAGTTGTGCATAACGCATACGAACCATAGAGCCTGTGGAGTTATCTCAATAGGTTGATCGGGTCTATGATCCACGCGGACTCACAATCCTCCCAATGACGCAAAGACAGCAATAGCAAAGACGCGTTTGTTATGGACTAAACCAGCCTATCCAGCGCCATTAGTAAAGTTGAAAGTAGTAAGTCTGAAGGACACTCACCCATCCCGACGCGCCTTGCATCTGCCTGCGCCTTTCGGCGGCTTGATTGAGATGCCCACCAGAGACGATTCCTCCGCCAGCCATTGCGCAAAGACTCGAGGGGAAGTGCGGGTAAGACGCGAACGAACGGGGCGTCAAAGTACGCAATCGTCCAGGGGCATGGTTTTATAGACGATGCTAGGCAGCGGTACTTTGCGGGCCGCTGTAGCGGCCACAGTTCACATAGCAAGAGCGACCCGTACGACGACCGGACAGTCAGCAGACGAACCCTAGCGCCACCGCCGAAGCCAGGTGACGTACAGGTGCGTTGGATTGGATGGGTACAATGATAGCTTCGCGCAAGAAAGGTTATTCGGGAAGGCAGGATGATCGGTTCAGCCAAGGAATGCGTCCTTGTCGATGCCGTCAAAACACAACGGAGTAGTTGTGGGACTCTACGGGGTCACTTTACACTTTTGCGGGGTCGCCGATACGCACAGAGCTACCCAGTCGGTTGCTCTAAGACTAGACCTGGTGCAGATGTAATGGATAAGGTAGACTCTTCATTTGGTATCGCAGTAGGGTTCACTTGAAGTACAGTCATCGTAGAGCGCCCAGCTTTTCGTTTCACAAGTAATCGTGCCGACAAGGCGCCGAAGCATACAACTCGGATGATCTCTCTCACTCAGAACTTGATATGTACGCTTACCGTGAGGCTCTGAGAAGCCGTTACAGGAAGGGTTCGAGTGCCTGCGGCAGGACCTCCGAGATACTTGTGCCGCTCGGCGGCTCGATAGACATGAAGTACTGGATAATCGTCAGTCAGGATATGCGGGGGCGGGGAAGAACGCGGGGAAGTACGTACGTCACCCCACCAGGGACCCGCTGCCCACCAAGCTGCGCCGAGCCAAACCCCGCCGGCTTGCTGCATCGAGCATAGGGCGCCGTAGACGGCCTCAATGCAATCGCTGTTTGAACCAGCGCCGATCTCGCCCAGGAACCCTTTGAAGCCGCTCGACTGCAGCCATGTCGTTGCGGCGGCAAGACGTTCGGCGCCGATAGTGCTGGATACGCAGACCTCATTCGTGCCGGAACCGTCCGAATCAAGGTACTGGTGCATCTCAATTGCGGTGTTGTTCAAGGGGTCCTGGATAGCAGAGGTTGTGAATGCATCCGAGTTGCCAGAAGTGGTCCAGGCTGCGCGAACATGAGCATCGCATACTAGAGTAAGAAAGAGGTGTGCACGCACTCCATGCGCCAGTCCAAGAGGTCCCCTCAACCATGATCTGTTGGGTCGCACCAGAAGCACGAACACCATTGATACCAGCCTGCATCAGCGACGCGACAGTTGTTGCGTCGATGTCGTGCGGCTCGTTCATCAAGTCTGGTCATTTCTCAGTCCTAGCTCAGATAAAGTAGGCAATGCACCTACCGAACATGACGTTGGCGTCATCGACAAACTCTCCGGCCAAGTTCTTCCACAGCGTCTGGAAGTCGCTCGTGCTCGAGATTTGAGCGCCGTTATAGATCTGCATGAACCTTGTCAATACTTACATCTGCAGTGTTCACGTGCAAGCGTACCATGAAGTTGTGCGCTAGACATCTCGTCAGCGTACAGGTATGTCATGATCTGGAGAACAGCACTCACGGTCGATGAGCGCATATGCCCCCTTGCCTGTAACGTAGCTCACAATCTGTAGGTCATGAGCATCAATCGCGAGCCTCAGTCAATAAGGTGTTCACCGTCTTGAGCCCCGAGAGGTAGGTCTGATCGAAAGGACCTGCGATGCCCGTTGCGGGTGGCGCAAGGCGCTCAAGCAAGAACGGGATGCGGAACGTGTTGAACCCTAACCCGACGAAGTAGTCGATGCTACTCGGGCTTGGCCAGGTGTAATCCGTGCCCAAAGTTCCAGGGATGTTGGCATTTCCGAACTCAGCACCACTTTCACTGAGAGATATTGTGAGCAAAAAAGGTGAGGAGACATAAGAAGAGATCACAAACTAACCTGACACCGAAGTACTTGAACTTGGTGAGGTCTCCAGAGCAAGAACCGGCAGCCTGGCGTGCAGTGAGTGTGCCAGTGGCGGTGTCCCTGGATGTCGCGGTCGGGACGGCGGCTACGGCCGAGACGAGGGCAACGAGAGAAGCTAAGCACTTCATGACGGGCGGAATGTGCTGGTGAAGGTCCGGGAAAGCATCATGCGCTTATATACGTTCTGCGGGTGACCCTACTTCTGCCTTCTGACGACGTTCATCCAGAGAGTAAAGCCAAAAGACTGCGCCGGTCCTATGTGGTGCGACCTTTCATCCGATGAATATCCAGTTGAGAAGGGTCGTGGCGCGTGCAGACCATTGTTGCCGTTGAGACGAACCCATGGTAGCGAGCCGACGACCGCCTGAGAAGCAAGCACAAGACGTCGACTGATGCCAACCCTTCTAGGCGGGGCTTCTCTATGTCAAAGAGTCCGGCGGCATCGTCGACGTAGTACCAGAGTCGAATGCCTGCGTTCAGATCTGTTCAGATGATCATGATATACATCCGACATATATCCAATACGCAGTCAGTATGAGTGGGACGTATGGACGGGAGGGCTGCCTTATCCCCGGATTGCGCGAGAGGAAGTCTGTCGTCACTGTATCCAGTCGGCAAGCCTGCAGCTCGGATGTCCATGCATGGAATAGTGCGCGTGCCGAGCAGTGGGGATAGAGTGGGCTACGATGATGAAAGCGGGGAAGAAGTCCTCGTGCTGCAGGGAACACATCTGCTCTGGCACTGCTAGCGTTACCAGATGGCCTGTAGGTACGATTATTCTTCCGCTGAGCCTCCATACTGAGCCCATGTCAGCTACGAGGAACAGTCTTATTCGGAACAGACGTACACCGCGCACAAGTACCCCAATCCTTAATCCGGCAATTCCCCGCTGCATCTTCCGAAGCCATTGCCCACCATGCTCTCCGCATGCGTATCATGGGAATGGTGTTCTTCTACGCATTGACCGATGGATACCCGACGGTGTAATGGATGTGCAACATGGTATGACTGGGATTCGACTACATGTACGTCGTGGTCGAGGTTCAAGTGACGACGTGCCCAATCGTCGCCCAATCCGCTGCGCGGCGAAGCAACTTCAGGACCAGCATCGTACGGGCATGTTGACATGTGTGGGATCTTGGTTATCCTACATACCTTAGGTGACACCTCTTCGCCTTCGTTTATCTTTGAACGAGTGCTGTGATCATGATCGAGTCTTTGTGAGCACCATAGCGCCGCCAAGGAGATCACACGACGGCAACATAAATACGCAAGAAATGACCGACGATATTTGAAAGAGTGTGGGGACCGAGACAAAGAATGGACGCTAGTGTAATCGAATGACTGCCCAGCAGGCTATGATATGATATGATGGATAGAGAACCTGAAACCCTGAAGGACTTTATTTCCCCAACATCCGAGGACCCCTGTTTCGCTATCTACAAGCACTGGGAATAGAAGGCTGAAGGAGGCCTATCAGTACACAGCCGACAGACGGTGGCGGTAAGGGACGTACGGTTCTGAACGACACATTTGTAACCGGCGTCACTGGGAAGGCGTGAATAAACGAACTGACATCGCCATATCAAGAAATCTAATTACCACTCGGTTGCGCCAGTCCAATTTTCACCACCACACTGTTTAGAGTCAGCTCAGAAAAGGCAGTCTGTCCAAGGTAGAGACTTGCCTGGTAATACTGGGCTACTGTGCCAGAGGGTGTGGAGGTTGCAGCCGGCGTCGTGGACGTGCCGTTAGCTGAAGCAGAAGGGAGAGCAACGTCGGTAGCCGGAGACGCGCCGGATGAGGCCGAGACGTACAGGCACTGGGAGTAGTAGTCTACAAAGGAACTATGAGCTGCTGCGACCCTCGCATTAAATCAATCGTTTACCGTTCTGGACGACGCAAGTGTACGGGGAGGCGCTGGAGAACAGTCAATACTTGTCGAAACGACATCGAAGAGAGCAACTACCAAGAGGTTATGCCGGTATAGCCCACGCCGCCACACTGATAATACTGCATTACGATGATGAGAAGTGACTCGATGCAATGAGACTGCAATACGCACTTGACCGACTGTACCGGTAGCCGTCGAGACAGGAGCGGCCGAAGTGCTCGTGGCCACGACAACGGCCGAGGTTGCCACAGCCACTTTTGACGATGTGGGAGCGACAGAGGTGACCGACGCAGCAGTACTGCTCGTGACCTGGACGGGAGAGCTAGTCGCGGCAGCAGAGGAAGTCGAAAGGTCTGCAGGGCACGACTCATCCTCAGTCTCTGTGGACGAAGATGAAGCAGATGAGGCGGCGACGGTGGTGGCGGCAGGGGCAGCAGTGGTGGTCACAGGTACGGCAGACGAGCTGACGACAGTGCTAGCGACGTTCGTCACAGCGGCTGCCGAGGTCGAGGTGGCTTTCACAGTCGATGTCGCGACCGCAACAGCGGACGAAGATGATGCGATGGTACCATCAGCGACGGGAAGGAACGGCTCGAGCGCCTGCGGAAGCATAGATGCAACAGCAACGCCGGTAGAGGGCTAGAGAAACACGTCAGATATGTGTCGACGACAGGTGGTCAGTAACGTTACCTCCATAGAGTAGATATACTGAGAAGCACGTGTGAGTAAGGTTCCGAAAGATCACAACTTGGTGAACGTACCGAACCCCACCAAGGGCCAGCGGACCACCATGTAGCGCCGACCCAAACACCACCAGCTTGCTGCATGGCACAGAAAGCACCGTAAACTGCCTAACAAAACGTCGTTAGTGGTCACCATGGAAGAGAAAGGGCAAGCGAACCTCGATGCAGGCATCATTGTTGCCGGCGCCAATCTCACCGAGGAAGCCCTAGGAACAAATGTAAGTGACATCTTATTGGACGAGCAACCGGGACGTACCTTGAGGTTGTTCTCTTGGAGCCAAGCGGTTGCAGCGGCCACGCGCTCCGCGCCGATCGTTGACGAGACGCACTGATCGCTGGTACCAGAGCCGTCGGAGTCGAGATACTGGTGCATCTCGATCGCAGTGTTGCCGAGGGGATCGTTCAACGGTGCAGCCTCAAAGGCCGCGGCATTACCCGACGTAGTTGTCCACGTCCAAGCACCCGTGTACGAGGTACCCTCCGCGAGGATGAGCTGCTCGGCGCCGGCAGCACGGATTCCGTCAATCCCGGCCTGCATGAGGCTCACAACGGTCGATGCGGCGATATCGTGAGGCTCGTTCATCAGATCTATAAGTACCATCAGCAAGATGCTCAAAAACTCGCTGTGTAAACCGACTTGCCAAAGATGACGTTCGCATTATCAGAGAACTTAGTTGCGAGATTCGTCCAGAATGACTTGAAATCAGAGGTGCTAGTGATCTGAGCGCCGTTGTAGATCATGAAGTTGTGGGCTGGGATACAGGTGAGACAGGATGTCGGAGCTTAGCATTCAAACGACCATAGGGCTTACGGTCGAGGATCGCGAAGCCGCCCTTGTTGGTGATGTATTCAACGAATGTGGTGATCCCAGATAGGTATGTCGAGTCAAAGGTGCCAGTGAGGCCAGTGGAAGGAGGCGCAAGACGCTCCATAAGGAAAGGAACTCGGAACTGTAGTATATGCGTAAGCAGAGTCGCCACTTGTTCCAGTGAGGAGATGTACTGACGGTGTTGAAGCCAAGGTTCATGAAGTAGTCAACACTCGAGGGTGAAGGGAATGTATAGTCAGTCCCGAGCGTTCCGGGGATCGCTGAGCCTACAGAGACAAAGTTAGCGCGCGGAAGGCAGATCGTTTACGATTCACAAACCGAATTCCGCTCCGCTCTCGTTCACCCCGAAATAGCTGTATATGCAGTGTCAGATGTGCAAAGGAGACTGTTAGAAAGCGCACTGACGTGAACGGGGTCTTAGTGCCAGAGCAAGAGCCGGCAGCGGCTCGAGCGGTGAGCGTCCCGGACGGCGTATCGCCAACCGTGCGCGAGGAGGGGGCCGGGACAGCGAGAGCAGTCGCGACCAGCGCGAGGAGGGCGGCAATGCACTTCATGGCGAGTCGAATGAAGAAAGAAATGCTCCTCAGCAGCGAGGTTTATATACGGGCGCGAGCGCAGCCGCAACAAGATCTTGTTCCTTCTCGGCCTGGAATGTCAGCGATCCCAACGTCCGTCGCGAGGGACGGTCCAATGTCAGGTACACTCGTCAGCATCAGATACCACACTGTTCCTCGGGTATGATGCTTATTCCAAGGTACGTGCCACGGTACGTTCCGCTGCATCTAGATGCCGCTCTCGAGCCGCGAAGACAGGGTTAGCGAATAACATACCGGATCGTTGTGCGAGATGTGCTCTCGCTTGATGTAGTGTTTCGTGCTGGCGGTGCCCAGAATGGTTGGCAGCAAACGGAGAGGGATCGTAGCCTGCGCAAACGGGCGCAGATCGTGTCCAGGGATCATCGAGACCGACATAGACTGGGGAGGGGTCGGCAGGACAACTTGATGACGGTGACCCGGAAGAAATTCATTGAGGATGTGCCTGATGTGTTCTCGGGACGATGTGGCGATCAAAATCGATGTTCCTCACGGGGGCACTACAGCGGAGACCGTGCCCAGCTGGAGGGTTACAATTGCTGCAGATAGTCGTCCAGAATGGCTGGATCAATCGGCTGACAGCAGCTGCCTGCTCGAATGCAATGAACGTCGTCGAGACAGCGTCCGTACATTGTGCAATAGAACACGGCCTCCGCTGAAAGGGACATGCGGGCGAGTCGACCGCGGACCACCACGAAAGGCCCGTCCGGTATACAGATACCGAAGTACTTGTGCGGCTCCAGCGCCGTAGTGTGGCTGCAGCGGCCCGGGCGCGATGGAAACGAGCCGGTCGTTCTCACGTAGCTGCACCCCCGCCGGCCGCATCATCTTCGGATGCAAGATTTTCAAGCGCTGCTGGAGATGCAAACACTTTCATGAGAGTAATTTGTAAAGTCGACGGTCAGTGAGTAGAGGCTGCTAGAGTAGTGGCGGTCCATGGGACCGTGGCATCTGGCGCGAAACTGCGGTTGACGGGCACATGTGACCTTCCCACAATGCGGCGCGGGAACTCCCGCTTCTCTCACAGGCTCACACCGGACTCACCACCTTGTTCGCATCTATCATGGCCTCCGTAGCACTCGTTGACATGCAATGTTGTGACGCACATATAAATGCTGTACATACGACCCGAACCCTCGCAGTGAACGCACTTGGAGATCTCGCTCACACGGCCGTTCCAGAAGAACTCCTGCACGCGTGATTAAGTCGCACACATACAGATATAGCACCGCCTTGAACCTTCATTCGCATATACATAGAACGGCGAGGCCGAAATGGCGATGCAAAGGCAGGTCTCTTTTACCTGACTTCAGTCGCCGTCGACCCTTTATCAAGCTTCCTTGCACTCTTAGCAGTAATCCTCAGCGCTCAGTAGGCTTGACAGCAAATCAGTACACGATGCCCGTCACATTCAGACCAGCAAGTCATATCGCGAAGTCTATTGCGGACGCAAAGCAAGTCACTGCTCGCGAGCTGCTGCTCAACTGTAGCCCAGATGCAGAACAACATTGCGATGAGATCCTACAATCTTTCCTCGGGCGCGGCTCCTCGGCAAAGGGCACCATTCTGTCCCCAAACTCCTTTCGATTACAGTCCATGCGCCACGGGCTTGTTCAGACGGTCTGCGAGGCGTACTTGGAGCATCGAGCACTTGTATTACGCCCAGATGACGTATGGCTCGCCATCTTGACGCAGTTCAGTCTGTACGTGAACGAGCACGCCGAGGAGTTGCGTGACAAGTTCGTCGCACATGAGGGGAAGCAGGAGATCACTGTCCCCTCCGATGGCATACGACATACCGTCGAATTCGGCAACATGGCACATCGCATGACGAGGGAGATGAACAAGTTCATCGTGGATCGCGCCGTGCGAGATTGGATTCTGCCGAGGTTCTCGACGACCACAGAAAACGACACAGTAGTGGCGTCCGTGGTTATGATGGCGACAATGAAAGCGTACTTTGAGTACAGCTTTGACATTACTTGCGGTATCCCTGTGGTTGTGTTGGAAGGAAAGAGGGCCGATTGGCAGGACATCTTACGCAGGGCCCGGAAGCTTATGGAGTATGGAGAAGAGACGGAGGCCTGGTATGCGCTTCTGCGTCCAGTCCTCGATCGCTTCGTGCGGTCGTTCGACTCTCCAGGTGCAAAGGAGAACCTCGAATTCTGGAATCATGCGGTGTTTCACAAGGGGAAGGGGTGCGGCGGTACCAGTGACACGGAGTTCGCACTTAGTGGATGGTTATCAGCTTTCTGTGTCTTCAGTGACAGAGGCAAGTGGATTGGTCGTCCTGTCTCAACGGCGAGTCTCCCTACCTTTCATTGCGAGATATGGCGGTCATTGATTGCACACCTTTAGGTGTTGGACGAATGGTACAACTCACCAGCCGGTTCGAATGAGGTAGAGAAGCAGAGTATTCATTCTGCCTTGTCGAACACGACCACAATCGGAGGTAGTGCACTCGAGTATCACGGAAGCCAATCATTTGGGGTACTGCAACTGGACGGGATGACTTATCACCAACTCCTCAGCGACACCATCCCACCTTCGATAGTGGAGGTCGATGTGAAGGTGATTGACGGCAATGGTATCTTCCCCTCTGTAATGGTCGCCGGCATCGTGGGCGCGAGCGTGCTGGATAGCGGCAGTACTGAAGTATCTCTAACCGGCGTCAAAGACACGATCGCGCCTGCCGCTGGATGGTGGCTCTACACCAAGAAAGGCGCAGACAGGGAGAATTTGGACGCCCTTCTGTCCCGCATGCCGCAGGAGAAAGGTGGAGAGGGTATCTGCAACCCTAGGCACAAGCCCTCGGCGCGAGCGGAAGAGAAGGATAGCGACAATCGGAGGAGCAAAGCTTCGAGCATGCGCAATTGGGGGAGGAGAGTGCTCTCATGCCTGCCACTCTAAGGATTGGATGACAAGGGGCAGGTACTCGAAGATCTTTTGCTCTGTATCTCTATCCATTGTGAACGTATACGAAAATGTAAGTTAGGGAAAGGGCAAAGCGCGTCCGACGGGTACGCTCGCTCGGCGCGGCGTCTCGCGATTCGCGAAACGGAAAACCGCGGTTGACGCGCACATGTGACTTACCCACGCTACGGATCAGAGCCTAGGGCCTAGGCTCACACCTTGCTCGCACCCACCACGATCTCCGTGGCACTCGTTCACATTCAAGATACCTTGGCACAGCTTCTTTCCCTATGACGAAACTCTTGTGGGACGTACTAAGTTAGAAGAATAAAGTACCTATGTCGTGCACCTATTCACCGATGTAAAGCTTGCCAAAATCTTGCTTTCTGCCCGTGCGTTGAGGATCACGCTGATTAGCCCGTGGGCAGCGGGGTGTGCAGCCAGCATGATATTCCAGTCAAAAGATATCTTTCGTCATTTACGATCTCGGTCCATAGTACGCCTTCGAAGTAGTGATTGTGCGAGTTTAAGGGGGACTTATGATAGCAGACTACGCTATTCGTCCAGACTTCGCCATGAATGTTGCACACTATATAGGTAGATGTTGAAGGTCACAGTAGCTACAAGAGATCCGCTGGTTCCTGCCGATAACAATCATCTCAAACAGGCTTGATGTGTCAGGGATTTGGTGCACTGGACGTGTGATCATCCATCATATCCTGCTTGAACTAATGCTGTACTCGCATTCACACGAACTTTCCCAAAGAACTTCCACTCGCACGATCAAGTCACATACATACAGACATAGCACCGCCTTGAACCTTGTATCATCCATACATATAAGGATGGGGTCAATGTGGCTATGCAAGGGCAGGCCTCTCCCATCTCGTTCTCGGCATCGCCGCTATCGTTGTGAAGTCTCAAGATCTCATTGCCCATTGCCCACTTGCCATATATTCTCAGTCGGTCTAGTACACTATGCCGGTCACTTTTAACCCAGCCAGCCATCTTGCCAACTCTATTACAGACGCGAAGCAAGTCACTGCCGACGAGCTCCTACGCACCTGTAGCCCGGAGGCAGAACGCCAATGCGAAGAGATCCTGCAGTCCTTTCTTGGGCGGGGCCCCTTTGCGAAGGACACCATTCTCTCCAAAGATGCGTTCCGCCTATCTCACATGCGCCACGGGCTTGTTCAGACGGTCTGCGAGGCGTATCTGGAACATCGAGCACTCGTCTTACGCCCCGACGACGTTTGGCTAGCCATCCTGACGCAGTTCAGCATGTACGTGAACGAACATGCCGAGGAGCTGCGCGACAAGTTCGTCGCACATAAGGGGAAGAAGGAGCTCATCGTTTACGCCGCGGGAACGCGGCATACTGTCGATTTTGGCGACATGGCGGTCCGGATGACGAACGAGATGGACAAGTTCATCGTCGACCGCGCCTTGCGTGACTGGATCCTGCCGAGCTTCTCAACGACGACTGAGAACGATACTGTAGTCGCGTCAGTAGCCATGATGGCGACGATGAAGGCGTACTTTGAGTACAGCTTCGGCATCACTTGCGGGATTCCTAAGGTCACACTGGAGGGAGATAAGGCAGATTGGGAGGATCTCCTACGCAGAGCTCGTAAGCTCATGGAATATGGCGAGGAGACCACAGCCTGGTATGCACTTCTGCGCCCGGTGCTCGTTCGTTTCGTGCGCGCGTTCGACCTCCTGCCGAACACGAGGGACAATCTCGACTTCTGGAATCACGCCGTGTTTCACCAACAGACGGGCTGTGGCGATCCCACCGAATTCGCGCTCACAGGGTGGTTATCAGCATTCTGTGTCTTTAGTGACAAGGGAAAGTGGATCGGTAGGCCGGTCAAGACGGCGAGTATCACTATTTGATCCACTACGAGGTGATATTGATTGTATGCATCTAGGTATTGAGCGAGTGGTACGATTCGCCAGCCGGCTCGAACGAGATGGAGAAGAAGAGTGCACAGTCCGCGTTGTCAGATACGACCACTCTCGGTGGCACCGCACTCGAGTATGACAAGAAGCAATGGATCGGGGTCCTGCGGCTTGACGGGATGACGTACCACCATCTACACGGCGGCGCCATCCCTCCTTCGATAGTAGAGGTCGACGTGAAGGTGATTGACAACGGTGTTCCCTTCCCCTCTATAATGGTGGCCGGCATCGTGGGGGCGAGTGTGCTGGACAGTGGCAGCACTGAAGTTTCTTCGACCGGCGTCAGGGACACGATCGCGCCTGCCACTGGTTGGTGGCTCTACACCAAGAAGGGCGTGAACAAGAACAAATTGAACGATCTCCTGTCCCGGATGCCAGACGAGAAGGGTGGAATGGAGGTCCGCAAGGCCGGGGACAAGCTCGCCGCGCGAGTCGAAGGAAAGGATAGTCAAGGCCGGAGGGATGGGGTCTCGAGTATGCGGAAGTGGGCGAGAAGGGTGCTTGTATGCTTCCCGCTCTGAGAAATCAGTTTCGGGCTGTGAACGATGCATGTCCTTGTAAATTTTGAACCATGTTTCGGATTGTACTTGTATGCGACTATGTGATGAATCACGAATCGGACGGCGATGAAGGGAAATGCCAAGGGAAAACGCGACCCGAAGGGCGGTCCGGACCCGCGATCACTGTACGCGATCACATGAGATGCATGTAGGGCCGCCAGCGCGCTGTTGGCGAACCAGCGACCACTCAAAAAGATCACACCGCGAAGCCGTGCGCGACACAAATGTATACCAAACAACCAGGTCTAAAAGATACACTCGTTGCACGCCCGAGCTCAAAGTCCGAATTGTACTCAACAACACGGACGCTTGCAACCTTTTCGCCAAACTTACAGGCATTGAGAGTAGTAGGCTGATGATCGTGTCAGTAAAGCGTATGCGTGTCAGAGGAAACGAGAGCTTACCGTTGGAAACAGTGCAAGTGAAGGGCGCAACACTGTAGAGCTTCTATCAGCAAAGAAAGTGAAGCGAGGGAGGTTAACGCCGCACCACGTCGTGGGCCCAGTGAACCCGATGCCACCGCATTGGGCGTAGTGTGCCGCGCCACCCGTTGCCGCCGTAGTGGTAGCCGCGGGAGCAGAGGAGGTAGTACCAGATGCAGCAGTGGAAGTAGGTCCACTCGGCAAGCCGCTGGCGATGCCGGTAGCGGGCAAGAACGGCTCAAGCGCCTGCGGGAGCATCTGCGCATCGATGACGCCGCTGGGGGGCTCGATGCCGTAGATGTAGTCTCCCCACCATGGGCCAGCTCCCCACCAAGACGCACCGAGCCAGACACCACCAGCCTGAGCCATCTCACAGAGGGCGCCGTACACGGCCTGGATGCAGGCGGTGTTGGAACCAGCACCGATCTCGCCGAGGTAACCCTTGAAACCAGTCTGCTGGAGCCATTGAGTGGCGACTTGGAGGCGCTCGGCACCAATGGTGTTGGAGACGCAAGTCGCAGATGTTCCAGAGCCGTCAGAGTCGAGGTACTGGTGCATCTCGATGGCGGTGTTGTTGAGAGGGTCATGGATCGCAGACTTGGTGAAGGCCGCGGAATTACCAGCGCTTACCCAAGCTGTAGAAGATGAGAATCATATCTCATCCCAAGGAATCGTGAGTACGCACTCCATGCACCGGTCCAAGAAGTTCCCTCAACCATGATCAGTTGCGTAGCACCCGAAGCGCGGACACCGTTGATACCGGCCTGCATGAGCGAGGCGACCGTCGTAGCGGGAATGTCATGGGGCTCGTTCATGAGGTCTGTTCTGGAGTAAGACGCGATATCTACGTGGATGAGCAGAAGATCTCACCGAACATGACGTGCGAGTTGGACACAAACTCGCCAGCCAAATTCTTCCACAGCGTCTGGAAGTCGGAGGTGCTCGAGATTGTCGCGCCGTTGTAGATCTACGCCGTAGCTTTCAGTACATCAAGCTACTTTGTCGACGCTTGCTAGGCTCACCATGTAGTTGTGTGCTATAAAATGGCGTCAGTCATGTTGCCGAATGCGCGCATGTGGCTGGCATTACTCACGGTCAATGAGTGCGTACGCGCCCTTGCTCGTGATGTAGTTGACGATGGTCTTGAGACCGGAGAGGTAGGTCTGGTCGAAAGGGCCGGTGATACCCGTCGCGGGGGGTGCAAGACGCTCGAGCAAGAACGGAATGCGGAACGTGTTCATGCCCAAACCGACGAAGTAGTCGATAGAGCTGGGGGACGGCCATGTGTAGTCCTTGCCGAGGGTACCGGGGATGACATTGTTTCCGAACTCAGCACCGCTCTCCGAAACACCGAACCTGCGCGTCATCTCTGTCAGTACCGTTACCAGTCACTGAAAGGAGGATGAACATACAGGGAGAACTTGGACAAGGAGCCCGAGCAAGAGCCGGCGGCTTGACGCGCGGTCAGGGTGCCAGATGGCGTGTCACGGACCGTGGGCGTTGTAGCGGCAAAGGCCGACGCCGCAAGGGCGACCAGAGAGAGGACGGCCTTCATAGTGGACACAATGAAGGTCAGGTGGAGATTAACAGTGGGCCAAGGCTCGACGAGCTGAGTTGCGCGCCGCCATCTCTTATAGTCGCGACACAACCGGTGTTGACCCGCGCGCGATGCCTTCTGCCGTAGCGATGGTTGCTGAAACCGACGTAAATCCTCCCGGAGCGCATCACCTGAGCGTAGAGACCCGCGAGGAAGCGCATCGACGAGGAGGGGATAGAGCGGGAGTGAGGGCGGGGAAGGCTGAGCTTGCTTTCGGATCCTTGGCCTGGACGGACGCAAGGAGACTGGTATTCCCACAGCGCGCATCGGTCACACTTCGAGCAGTCATCGTAGGACGTACACCACAGCCGACGTCGTACCGAGAGACAGGTCGCTGATGCGAGAAAGTCATGGGCCATTGTGTGATCAGGAGGTATAGCCGAGATATAACCTGCATGAGTAGTCGTATGGTGACAGCGTCACTACCGAGCTCGCGTGGAGCATAATAGCATGCTGCGAAGATTTGCGGTGCTCTCTGAGCCACTTGCGGCGGACAAGTGACAGCGTGCAAGTCGCCGAAGTCATCGCAAACAGTTTGGTGCAAGAACCTCAGAAGCTGACCGCCCACGCTCCGAGAGGCCGTGTCGGGGAAGTCTCGCGCCTAAGCGTTCCGCCATCACCGACTGAAAGAGACCGGCGCATTCGTAACTATATACGGATACAGAAGGCTTCGGAAGTGTTCAACCCCACGTGCAATCTCGGAGACACATGGATCAACCTATATACCTGCCACAGCCTGCCACAAGAGTTAGCTTTTGATAGACTGCGATTAAGGCGGGGAGTTCACTTGCAGTATGATACATCGTCACGCCGGGCGCGTTAACGGACATTAGATCCTCCCATCCCGGTACTTCTTCTCATACTGCCGAGCCCACTGCTTGGACCCTCTCCTCGATCGTCGTCAAATCTCCTCCCGCCATAGGCCACAGGACCACCGCCATATCCAAACACTCCGCGTTCTCTTGCACCGCCTTCCCGTCTTCTTTCCCAATCATACCGCTGCCTCTCGCCCTCACGATCTCCCCGGTTGCGAGTTGCAAGGTATGTTCCCAGCCCACCAAGTACTGCGCCACCTAGCAGTTCTGCGCCTCGTATGCCGCCGGTTGTCGATGCAGAAGGGCCGGGCTTATCGTCTGGTACATAGGGTGGTGGTGGGTCCGTATCGTCACGAGGGCCGTATCCTGCCCCTCCAAAGCCGGGCGAGCGTCCAGTGCCGGGACCCGGTGCGCGCCCACCTCCGGGCCGCGGACGAGAGCCCCAACATGAGCGAAAGAGGTTGTACAGTATCCAGATAAGAATGCCCGCAAATAACGCAAAGAATGCGTAGTCGCCTACGCTCTCTACGTGACATCAGTCCATAGTGCTGGAGATAGTGAATGAGAGACGTACTACGCGGTAATGAAGAGAAAGGATCGCGTTGATCGTTACGAAGTGTATCGGGGACGTGGACAAGGCGATACTCGAGACCGCAGGACTCTGGATCGCTGAGATGAGTGTCATATCGCGTGAACTGTGTTTCGCCACATACCCTTGTAAACGTACGGATCGCCTGGACCAGACCATCCCTCACAGCCGACTTCGACTCTCCCGAACCGCAGTGCTTCTGGGAGATCTGCTTCGCACTACTCACCGTCAGAACAGGGAGAATCACGACTTGAATGAGTTAGCTTACCGTCCAGTCTACGTCTGTACCTTCGCCTCCAGCATTCTTGCACCGGACGACTTCCGGCTGATAGAGCTTACACGCAGCACCACGACAAGTGAGCTGCGGGATAGCCTTGCCTCGACGAGAAGCGGTAGGCTCGTTGGCGTAAAACGTAAGTGTACGGATAGACGAGAGGAGCTGGCGAGTCATGGCGGCCCGGGGTAGAAGTGTAGGTTAAGCATGATGCATGTCTGAGGAAAGAGCCGTATTTGTTGTGGCGCCGAAACAGACGCGCGCACGTCAGTGACGCGTTTACACGTGGCGTGTTGATCGCAGCTTTTCGTCTGACAGTACAATCAGGATCTTTCTCTTTCCTTCCAGCACATCGTAGCCGAGCCACAGGAAAAGTATAGAGCACTCATTATCTGGTCACGCTTATGCTACTTATCTAATGCACATCGCGAGTAGTACAAGCAGCTGTATGTGTGTGCTGGAAGACCTCTCCCCTCGCGGTTGTTCAAGAGCTTGGATCACAGAACAACAGCTTCTTTCCTCGTAGATGGTGAGATACACATTCAGGAACTGAACCTCTCGAGTTTCTGGAAGAATCGCGGGTGCATGGGTTGGGAATTTGTGGGTATTCATTGGGAGTAAATGGCCTTTTCGTCTTTGGCCGCTTTGTTGGTCTGATGGCATTCTCGGCTTGTTTATGCCTCAAATCACTGCGTTGTCCTTGATGAGACTCTGGCCATATACACGGCTTGTTGTCGCGACGTTTCGAGCAGGCCCTATACGACAAGGATTCAGTTATCTTGTCATTCTCGGACGATCGTTGGATTTGCGTACGTGCATACACCACTATCAGTCCATCTACACTTGCCCTTCCTTCTCTTGCGGCAGTTTGTGCACGCTACATCTGGGTAGTCACCCACAGGTCTGGGATGCAATGTGATGACAGTCGTCATTGAGTTCGGCGCTTGAGAGGCAGGTGCTGGTGGGATGGATAGCGTGATCGGACCACGGCTGCTCTGATATACCTCTCCGTGGTATATATCGAAGTCCTTCACCTGGTCCAAAGCGTGGAGCGTGGTCTGTTTTCAAGCCGGTGAGTGCTTGCCTTATCGCAGATATCTCAACGAACCGACTTTATCGGTTCGCGCGTCCGAGTACGACGGGCCGAATCGAGGTCGCCAGGCCATTGACTGGGAAGTAATACTGTGCGACGTGATGGTCAGAGGAGAAAACGAAGCGCGCACGACGCGCTGAAGTAGCGCCCAAGTACAGCGCCCCGCGCCGACCCTGCATCATGATGCTTGTATGCCTCGTTGTCCACCTGTCGCGTCACAACCCCAGCCGCCTGTTAGTCACACTTCGCGAATGAACGGGGTTACGAACGTCGAACTTCTTCACACCGCTGTGAAATGAATACACCAAGGCACACAGGAGCATAGTACCACACAGGCGTCAGTATATGCAACGCGTGCACCTCCTTTCTTTTGCTCCAACCAACTGGCAGAACCCTGGTATCACTCTATGTGCGCCTTGTTCGCCGAGAAAGCCACATCCAAGGTCCGATTATCATTCGCCATCAGGCTCAAGACTCTGCCCTTACTAGCCGAGTCCATGCACAGGACCTAGGTCGGAGCAAGGGGAACGAGGGGAAAGAGATAAGTATAGATCGTAAGAGAGCACAACCACATCGACACCGGCACTCAAGCCTCCCTCCTCTTGATCCCATAGAACGCCATGAACTGCGGCAAGAACTCGAGCATCCACGTCTGCGACCGAGTCAGCCCTCCGTACACTTCGTGTTGCAGCTAACCCAAAAACGTACCTCGTCTGTCATCAGACTCCAGCTCTTCCTTGCCTTGACCCTCTCAAAGTACGCCCGCAGCTTCGCGAACCTCTCCGTCTCGCTTCCAAACATCTCAACCCACGCCGCGCGCCCTTTTCCCACGGCATGCGCGCACAGGTCATTGCGAAGATACAGCTCAACGAAGTAGAGCAAAGGCATGAAGGTAGCATCGGCGATACTCCAGCGCCCCGCCGCGTACCCAGTCGCCTCATTGCGCGCCTGAGAAGGCTCGGGTAGGAGATCTTGGGCATCCTTCATCGCATCGACCAGCGCCTCAAGTTCAACGTCACCTGTTGCGACCACACCGAACCAAGTTGGAACGACGCGGTGTTCGACTGTGTGAACGAAGAACTGAGCGCGAGCGCGATCCGTCGGCGTGATCGGTAGGAGTTGAGGATATAGATCGGCGAGGAAGGTGAGGATGACGGTCGATTCGGCGAGGTGGAAAGAGTTGGGCGGCGGCATACTACACTGGGTGCCTGTCGGTGAGGGAGGCTTCGAGACGGGTGAGGGAAGGGAGCCCGACGTGGGATGTGAGCTATAAGAGATAGCAGGAATCTATGCGCAAATGTCAGATTAGCGCAGAGTATAACGGGGGGGTGAGGATGGCGACAGACCTTGCCGCATGGGTTGACTTCACGGGTATACCAGTCCTCTCGAGGAACGAAGAGATCGATAATATGCGTATCGAAGGCTACGCCGGCCTCGACGAGCGCCAATTCGACCTGTGGCGTGTCAGTTTGCACGCGCACGACGGCGAAGGTAGATGGGGCGCACGCGCTTAGCATACGGGGAAGCCTATGTGGGCAGGTGATCAGCAACGCATCGAGAGACCAAGTGGGGAGGAGAGGCTCACAGGGTGGGTGTAAAGGGTGATTCGGCTTTCGTTCTTCTGGAGCATGGCGTGGGCACTGGAGAGTAGCAAGCGGGGAGGGCAATGGACGACAATGAGGAGCTTCACATCATTATATAGCGAGGTGCATGCACATGCGATGAGCAGGACATATCGTATACGAAGTTCATCAGGGAAGCCAATGTTTGCACCGGCCGTTAAGCTGCGAGCAGAACCTGCGAACAGGAGATGAAACGGATCTCTGCAGCGCGGTGAGGATCACACGGAGAGTTGGTATGAGCAGCGAGCCCGATCTTCGACGGCGAAGGGCCAGCATCCAATGGAGAGCTTCGATACGTCAAAAGTCGCAGCGAGCAATATGCGGTGGCCATGCAGGTATATCGGTTCAGCCGGCAGGATCAATCCCGGGAGCGACGGCATCGCGTAGACATGGATACGAGCGCGTAAATAAGGGGCAGAGAATTTGTCTTGAGGAGCAACGCAATATCAGTGACACGCTGCTGCAGATTGAACGTTAACCTGCAGAGGATCTTAACGATAGCAATTTGGATGTACGTTTGCCCAAGCAGCAAAGCAGGAGGGCCACGGCAAGCAATCCCGGTGTTGAAGACACATCTCACGGTTGCATATCCGAAGTTAATGGTTGTATGCTGCATACTAGTCTATAACTGAACATGGTGTCAGAAAAGGAAGGAGCCGCACAATGCGTCAGGCTTACGGTAGATTGCTGGGTAGTGACTTCGTTCGCCTACGCACTCGTTGGCCTTCCCTCCCACCTCGCGTCGTCAACCTTTCCGTAGTCACTGTTCTCCGCGCTACCCTCTCCCACCCACTTCCAAGCATTATCCCTCACGAAGTCCTCAAAACTCCAGAGTTCTGGCTTCAACTCAGTAACTGGGTTAGACCAGACGTAGGCACTGGCTTGTACAGCCGGTGCCAGTTCATCCGGTTTGGGTAAAGGGTTAGTTGTGGCGGGCACAAAGTCCTGAGTGGCGTGCGATGCTGCAAGAGGAGGCGGAGACGCCGGCCCGAGGGGGTGAACGCGCACGGGGTCGCGCGTGTACTCGGAGCCTTCGAAGATGTCGAGGAGGCGAATGTCGTTCGATGTCAGGCCTGTGACGAGGGTGCCGCGTACGCTCCGGTCTTCGGGGGTTAACTCGACTTTCACGAGCTCTTTCGTGCGTGCGTATGGAATGATCGCTGGGTAGTCTGCGCCCTAGAGGTTGGTGATGAAGAATGACCGGAATTGGTTGGAGCAGGCGCGTACGCACGGCGACATGATGGCGAGTGTAGTCGAGTAGAACGGCTGGGCAGATCCGCAGATGAGAGCCATCGTTGCCGATTACGCGTTGAAGGATGCGTGGGTGGCACAGGGTGCCATAGAAGAACGCGTTCGTGGTGGACATGTCTCTAGCTCTCGATGACACTCGGGTGGCACTTCTAGGTACCAGGCAGTTCGTAGACAGATGACAGGTGCGGATGGAAGCGCATAACGGGAGTGTACATGATACAAGCTTATATAGGTAGATCGCGGGAAGAGATAAGCTTTCGTTGCTTCGACAAGCGCCACCACAAGCGTGAGATCGCCACAGCTCGGCCGAAACGTGGACCTACACGCGTCCCTTTCCTTTTACCTCGTACCCAACGCTCTCGGCTCAGTACAATGAGGTATTTCGAGTAGCCGCGAGGGGCGTTGTACTGAAGACACGTTGGTTGTCGAGGAACAAGGGTCACATTGCTTATCTTTTCGAATTTCGGCCCCTTCGGGCCCCCGCGCCCGTGCGGAATGATCGACGTTCGACTCATGCTGCGACCGGCAGGGCGCTATATAGAGTACACTCTTCGTTGTACACGATGCCTTCCTTCCGACCTCCACGCACGCCTCCACCATGACATTCGAATACCCGTCGCTAAACCTTCCTAAAAAGGCGCCTGGCTTTGGACATGCCCTCCTGCCTTACTTCCTATTCTCCAAGGGCTACGTCTGCTTGAACCATGGCTCCTACGGCTCGCTGCCTAAACCGGTCTTCGAATTCTCTACACAAGTGGCCAAGCAGATTGAGGAGAACCCTGACCAGTTCATGCGCGTGGATCTCGTGAATGTGCTGAGGGACCTGAGGGAAGAGATCGCGCCGCTCATCAACGCGGACGAGAGCGAGGTCGTATTTGTGCCAAATGCGAGCCATGGAATCAACACCGTACTCAGGAACCTGATATGGCATCCTGAAGACGTTATTATTGGCGGTATGCGCAGTATACTCTGTACGCGATAATCCATAATCTGATGAAATACTGCAGCCAGCACTACATACAACGCCGTCGAGCGCGTCATAACCTACCTCCACGACGTTCCCCCGCACCCCCGCGTCTCAACTTTCAGGCTCAGCTTCCCCACCTCCCGCGCCGATATCCTCGCTGCATGGAAGAAACACATCCAGGACTTGAAATCCGACCTTGCGCGCAGGCAATCCGCAATCGGCGCGGATGGCCCGAAGCTCAAGATTGTCGCAGTCATTGACGCGCTCATCAGCAATCCCGGCATCTGGTTGCCGTGGCAGGAAATGGTGAGGCTGGCTAGGGAGCAGGGTGTCATGACCGTCGTGGACGCTGCGCATGCTATCGGGCAGGAGGTCGGGATTGACCTCAAGAAGGTGGACCCGGACTTCTGGATCTCCAACTGCCACAAGTGGTTGTTCGCGAAGCGTGGATGTGCCATCTTGTATGTGCCGAAACGGTATGAGCATGTCCTCTTGAGCTATACATAGAAGACGTCTAATATGGATTTGCAGGAACCAACATCTCATCAAGTCGCCCATCCCGACCCCGGCGGCATACCACTCGCCAACGGATGCTGACCCGTCAATCTTCCAGGAGATGTTCGGCTGTGTGTCTCGTCTTTCAGCCTTCAATGCTCAGTACTGATGCATCTAATAGGGAACGGAACCGTCGACCACACGCCATACGTCAGCGTACACGGAGCACTGGAGTTCCGGAAGTGGCTAGGCGGCGAAGAGAAGATCAACGCCTACTGCCGTGACCTCGCGCTCAAGGGCGGAAGATATCTAGCTGAGAAGTGGGGAACGCAGACGATGGACATCTCCAAGGATGGCGAGTTCACGCTCAACATGGTACGTACTGCACCGCGCGTGTGTCGAGCATTGCGAATATGGACTAATGCGCTTGTTCAGTGTAACATCGCCCTTCCCATGTCCCCCGAACGCGTCCCCGATACACCCATGAACCGTGCGGTGATGCAGTACAGGCTACTTGACGTCGCCCGCGTCAGCGCGCCCGTGTTCGTTCACAACGGCAAGTGGTGGGTGCGCTGCAGCGCACAGGTGTGGAACGAGCTGTCGGACTTTGAGTACCTTGGCAAAGTCTTGAGCGAGACTTGCAAGGAGGTCGAGGAGGAGAACGTTGCGGCCGGGAATGTAATGGTGAAGGCGAAGTTGTAGGTTGTGGGTGGGACGGATGTAGGACTATGTACGCAAAAAGGGATCGCATTTTCTCTGTACCGCACGTTATGTCCCTCGTTGTAGACTGGGATTTACCCATCGGCGAACTCTATACGACGCTATTGCGCCGTAGTATGCGCCGTGCCACAAGAGACTTCATCCGGGCCAAGGCACGTGTGCGGGTCTTCGGTCCGGACTCCGGCGCCGAGCGCCGAAACCTGTTCAGGCAGCCCTCGACCACCACCATGATGGAGAATCTTCCAACGCGAGCCGCCGCGCATGCCTGCACTTGCGCAGTATTCGTACACATAGAAATGGTCCCTAGATCTTCGGGATCTCATACGTCGACGTGAATTCTCGCGAAGGCTTGGCTTTGGCTCTACTCTTGCCTGCGGCCTGCGCACTCTACATACTCTTAGTCTGCGCTGCACCAGAGGAATGCCTGCGGTCTGCGCACGATTTAATACGCCTTCAAGACCTATATAGGACCTGCAGAGCTCAAAGGGATCCTTGTGCTTCAACTGTTCGAGACCTGTCATCTGCGAGACCTATCAAGATGTCCACGACCGACGGGAACGCTACCGGGATTTTGGGAGCAGAGGTGCTCAGAGGACCAGGTCAGGGTCCCATACCGCCGATGAGCTTTCCAGTGCGACTAAGTCATTATCTACAGGACCCGCTGAATCCTCTCCTATCCATCGCCATGCCCTTGGTTTCTACACTGCTGTCTGCTCCGTGGCGAGGTTCACCCGGACTTCCAATACTTCCAACCCGTTGCCAATCGATCGTGAATTGGTCTATACCGCTTTACACGATGTTATATCTCGCCATTCACCGTTGGCCGTGACGATAGAAGGCGAAGATGCTTCTGCTCGCTTCATCCAAGTTCCATTCATCGACCTCGAGCGGATGGTCGATGTGCATCACTATCCGCGGGGTTCGGACGAGGCTTCACGACAGCGCTACCTGAACCAAGTCATAGAAAAGCGGCTCTCCTCTCGATTCACCGACCTCGGCGTTCTCCCTCCCTGGCGCATTGTAGCCTTGTATCCTCACGTCGATGAACTTGGAGGAATAGAGAGCGACATCGATATTGCGCTCTTCATACATCACGCCATTTCCGACGGTGTCGGCGCTACCATATTCATGCGGACCCTTTTGGCCGCACTCAACTCGACTTCCGCGCTACAACGCGGCGAGTATCCTGGCAAAGTCGTTCCACCGCCGAAGGCCACATTCCTCCCGTCACTGGAAGTGCTCCGCCCCCTTCCAGTCTCATATCTCGTCCTCCTGAAGATTATCTGGTACATGTGGTTCCCTGCCTCTCGTGCCGGCCTCTGGACGGCCAAACCAGTGTCAAGCCCTTCTGGCACCGACCCCACGAGTTATTCCTTGCCCGTTGTGCAGACGCGCCACGCTATCCGCATCTTCTCTCCCGAGACCGTCGCACGTCTGCTCGCCGCGTGTCGCGCACACCAGACGACGCTCACTCCATTGCTCGAAGTCCTCCTCGCCCGCGCACTCTTCGCCGTACTGCCCACAGACGGGACCGCGGATCGCCTCAAGGCTGCGTGTCCTATCAATCTACGCCCGTTCCTTCCGGGAGATCATCGGATGACTATGGGCGTCTATTCGTCTGCGGATGATCACGAGTTTAGGCGCGACAATACAGACGTTTGGGAGGAAGCGAAGCGTGTCGGAGGTTCGCTCGCGCGAGTGCTGGACGACATGAAGCGCGGCAGACATTTTGAAGTCGGATTGCTGCGATACATACGCGATATGCGCGCTTTCTTTGCAGGAATGGTCGGGAAACCGCGAGGAGACTCGTTCGAAGTCAGCAACATTGGCGTAGTCAGGGGGGTGTTGGAAGAGGGACCGTGGTGTATGTCGCAGATACTGTTCACGCAGAGCGCGAGTGTTGCGGGCGCCGCGGTCAAGTGTAGCGTTAGCTCTGTAAAGAGTGGGCCGATGACGTTCTCGGCCTCTTGGGTGGAAGGAGTTGTGGAAGAGACGGTTGTGGATGCGGTCTTGGAGAAATTCTCATCTGCGGTTGACGATGTATGCTCCGGCAGGCTATAATTCGACATATATAGTAGCTTTATGATAGGCTTGATGGAACGGAATGCATGCCTTGCTCCGCATGTGTATCGATGAAGAGGTACTCTGATCCTGCCTTCCGCGAAGCGCGTCGGGTATAAGACACGTGTGCGCGTCGTCGCACTCAGCCGCATCTGCCAACAATCTCTCGAGACACAACTCACCACCTACCATCACTGGGCTACCACCCATATGGCATACTTCTGATCATCTGTGCTATCTATTGCTCTCGCCACTATCAGAGGCAAGAAAGGGTGCTGTGCTTAGGCAGTGGGATAAGGTTAAAGCTGTGTTAACCGACTGTCGAAGTAGCGTTTTCCACGTCTTCCGCATACGTAAACCCCATAAGCGCCGGCGTGTGAACTCACCGGAGAGGACTATACTGGCCGCTGTATTGCGCTTATACCGCTTGAGCTCCGAAAGAGGGAGAGGGAGAAGCTGTTTTTGCTGCCGGCACAAGGGGGTCGGTGCCATCGCCAGTCCCTGATTTGGACCCTCGATACTATAGACAGGCGCCGGCGCACACATATGCACAGCCAAGGACCATTGTAGCTGTCATGTGGTACGATTAAAACTTGTCGGGCTCATCATCCCCCACTCACCATCGCCTTCGCCGTCACCTTCACCCCCTCCACATTCATGCCGCCGCGCTGGAAGACCTTGCTCTCTCGAACGACGCACGAATCTGCAACGCATGAAATCGAATCACCCTCGCAGTCGACGCTCAGAGACTCGGTGATAGGGTCGCCATCAGGCGGGCCTTCCCCGCGCGCGGCAATCCTTGCCTCGGCGGACGCCAACGACGCCTTTACAGCAATGTGGCGCGACGCGCTAGACGATTTCGACGACGTCACTGGCGAGAACATTAGTAGCGGAAACTCCGACCTATACAAGCAATTGCAGGCCTGTTCTGACTACGCGTCTATCGTAAAGATTCTGGATGGGAAAGCTTTGGAATTCAAGGCGTATCGTCGAGGGTCGACCAACGCCATGAAGATGCGCGCCGCTTTACGCCCAGTTGTCTGCGCGATCATCAACATGATAGACATTGGCGCTGAAGCTGCCGCCTCAAAGGTGACCTTGTCTGTCCTCTTAGCGACATCAGGCTCATATGCGTCGCAGGCTGTGCCCGGAGGGAAGGCCGTGTTCGTAGCAATAGCGGTGCTCTTCAAGGTGCGCCTCTACATGACGAATTCTACGAAAGCTCATGGTGACACCTCACGCAGACTGTCCAAGGCGTCAGCGCACGTTTTGACGCACTAGTGTCCCTGTTCGAGAAGTTTGATTCTTTCCTGGAGCGTTTGGACGTTCGCCTCAACGCGCCCTTTGAGTCAGCCTCTCGCGCCCTTGCCGTGAAGACTCTGGCGAAGATGGTCAGGACTCTGGCATATGCCACGCAGATGATGCGCCAGAATCGGTTCAGTAAGCTTCGCATTAGATCTTGCGTAATGACCACTCTGCTCACGCTCCCGTTAGAACACTTCTTTTCTGTTCTGATTGGTCTTGGGGGTGATATAGCAGACATCACCGAACGTACTGAGAACCTCATGATCGAGGAAACTCGATTGAGTCTGGCCGAGATTCACATACGAATGCACGGTCTATCGGAAGCTTTCATGTCTAGTGCGCAGCTATCTCGCGAACTTCGTCATTGAATGCTAACTTAGTACGCGTAGCCCTGCATCATGTCGAGAATGGCATGGATCTTTTGAACGAGAGGATCGATGCTGTATCCTTGGGCGTGACTGGAGTATCAGATCGCCTGCACGGGTGTGCGTAACCTCTGTCAACAGTACTGTCTGGATATCTCAGACTCGTTCTCACAATTTATCCGATAGCCGGCTTATACGATATGCCCCACCGCCTGGACGCATTCATTGAGCGATACGAAGAGGACCGCTCTGACGATGGACCCAATCGCGGTACGTCGCCAAGCCAGTTATGCCTTTTGTCCGCACTTACACTCAGGTCTGCAGTCGTCGAACGTAGCATGACTACCTTCCGCAACAAGATGACGGTGCAAACTACGATCATCTCCTGTGAGTCGGGGGACCTCCTCAAACCTGCTTTCACGCTGACGCATGTACGACACAGCGCGACTTGGCCGTGTCGAGTCAGCGCTGGAGTCACTCGGTGAGATATACAGTCCAGTACTTGGAGCGACTCGTGCGCTGACGATGGGCGGCAATAGGCAAAGATCTAGCACGACCTTCCCCGGCTGTCAGTCAATGGTCCTCGAGGATATCATTGCCATGCGCGGACCTAGTCTCCTTCTCCCGGATGGCGTCGGAGATCCTCTCTTGTTTTCGGGACATGTCTCCGGAAGAGCAGGCTACCTTGCGGCAAGGCATAATCGCATTATACGCTGTAACAACGGCCTCGGTGGTGGCCGGAAGTCGCGACAGATCCACCGACGTTCTGTTGAAGGGCATCTTGAATCCCACCACCATGCTGTCTGGCTTTCTTCCTTTGATACTCGCTTATCTCGCTGTGTTCGTGTTCTGGAAGCGATTTGTCTGCCGAGTGCAGGTCGGGATTCCCAACGGTCCTGGCTTTGCGTTAGGAGATAGTATCATCTTTATCGACGTCTCTGGGACACACTATGTGCTGCGGCCGGAGAGGCTGAGAACATGGGAGGTACGGGCCATACATTTGTTATCAGCTCAGGATAATCATACCCGCTTCAGGCACTGCACGACTTCTTACTTGATCAGTATGAAGATCGCGAGGGCATTGAGTTCATCAGGTCGCACGCGTATAGGATCATGGACACCAATGGGGACGAGTCCGTCATCAAACGGCAGAATTGGGGGTCAGTGCGGGAAGGCATGACCCTTGAATTGAGCTTTGCGGTTCGTCAGAAAAGGCCTTCGTGTCTGTGGTGCGGAGAATATGCTGTAGCCCACACGCGAGTGGGTTGGGTACAATGGTGGGCTATATCATCATTGACACGGCCAGCGGTACAAGAACTGACACATTGCACCGTCAGCTCGCAATGCGGACGACGATTCTGGGTCTCCAAGGACTACGAGAATGGCATCAGCGAACCCGCTCGTACTATGTACGTTCTCGTGCTCAGGTGCGAGCTCGCTGATTGAACTACGGCTGCTAGTGAACAACCCCGTTTAGCGCGTGCTAGTTCTTCGAAGAGACGTGTGGTGTCACAGTCGACCTCGGACCCTCATCTGGCCGTTCCGTCGTACCGCAGAGTCGCCATAGTGTATACAAAGGAGAAATCTCTGTCGACTGGCTCGTACGATGGCGACGATAAAACTATGGTAAGGGGTCGTTCCGTGGAGCAAGAGAACTTAATTGACCATGGACGATGCAAAAATAGGCGGATGACTCAGAGATGGACTCTGCTGATGCCGGCAGTGATCTCGAGAGCACAGACAATGACCTCGATGACGATCGTTCTCCGGAAGATGCTGGGTTTGACCTTTTCGAACACCCGGTGTCTGATTACGAAAAGCCATTCGCCGGTATATTCAACATGGACTTTGAAGATCACGGTCCAAACGTGAGCGGAGAAGAGGGAGATGTTCACCCGGACTCCCGCGACTCAACTTCTCCCACTAACCATGCCAAGATCCTGGCCTCTCCCTTCTACCCCGCACCTGAACCAGAGATCAGGGCATTTCTTGCGACCCAACATGCGGACACGGTCATCACTCATACGTTTGGCATCGCTGTTTCGGTCGATCGCGCCTGGCAACTCTGTTTCTCACTCGCTCAGGGAAACTCCGATCTCTCGTCACACGTATCCATTCGCGAGTACATATATGGATCCTATGGTCGTGCTTCTCGCTTTACGTTCGGAGCTCCAGCTATGAGCCCCTTTGTCAACTTCTACTATAATGAGGAAGCATATCAAGACCCACCTTTCACTCGGGAACACTGTGTCGAAATCCAATACTGCCCAGCGGACGAATTTCCCTCTTGCCGGGAATGGAGCTCCTGGAGACCTAATTATACGTCATTGGATATCTGGCACTACGTTAGTGCATATGTGCAGTCTCTATCATTGGATATGAGGGCGCAAGATGGTGGGCGTATCATCAAACAGCATTACATGGAGGGCCCGGAGCATCTCATCTCGGACGTGCTCCCATTCTTTTTCAATCAGCTGGGCTCTGGTATAGGGCTCGACAGCAAGGTCGAATTGGTCGGAAACTACAGCTACGCACCCGTCTCTGACCGCCTGGCGCTGCCCTCACTTCGAGTTTTCATGCAGGTGAGTTCGCCACCACGAGGACGCTCGCGTGCTTCTGACAAGCGCGAACACAGTTCATCGGTTACCCGTCGTTCGAAGCCTCGATTCAGACATTCCCACCCACGTCCTTCTTCCCGATCACAGTTCAAGACTTCGCGCGACAAGTAGTCGACATTGTACGGGCCTATGTGCAGAGTTTGGAGGTGAGTTCATAGATAGACGGGCGTTGTTTAGGACCTGGGGAACTCATCACCCCTCTCAGTCTAGCGTCCTCTCTTTGTCGCATCCTCGCGGCGTGAAATGGAGGTTCGGGACTGCTCCGGGAACCGTTGGAGTTCAAGATGTAGAGTTGCTGGGGCTTATTTTCGTCTCCCGGGACACTGTGATGCCGCTGCTTCAAGTACGACCGGATTACTCTCTCAGTCCCTTACTTTCGAAGGACGAACCTATGGTTGTATGACAAGCTTACGCTTGAAGGACGAGCAGTAGTACGTAGTCACCATCTCTTGTTCACTCTCTCGAAGCGCTCCGATGA